GGCCAGAATGACTAAACCACTACTGGCGCATGGAGGACAGTGACGAGTGCCAGAGCGCACGGAAACGGCATTTACCTTCCCGCTACAGTGGTACCTATTTATCTACTTGCACTGGTGTGTTTTTGAACTGCTAGGTTGGCAGGATCTGGGACAGAGCAACGGGAGCTCACACCGTTGCGGGGAATTGAACCGCTGACCTTCTAATCAGCAAGCTCAAGAGGCTCAGTGGTTTAGACCACAGCGCCACCTGCGTCCCTAATGCTGTAACACAGGGGACGTGTGCAGATGGTCCAGTATAAACCCACTACTAATGCACTATTTTTGCATCCATGACATGTGGGAAACACTTGCAAAAATACAAGCAAAATGAAAACACGACAGCAGGAGATGATGCTGTATAATTTTGTTGCATGGCACACCTGTGCTCTGGAACATCATCTCTTCTCTCTGTCTGAACATAGTGTGCCAGGATCCCTGGGCATCCAAAGCCCCTGGAATTGGGAGCTGAATTGTTGCCACTTCCATCAGGGCAAGAGGCTTAGCTTGCCCCCTTTTCACTCTGCAAAAGGAGGCTGCATTCCTTCGCCATAGGAAGGGAAGCGATGCTTTGAATTCTGCGCACCCAGGTGGTATGTGGGTCTGGGTCAAGGCAGTTCTAATCACGAAAACCTTGGAGGGTCAACAACAGGGATGTGGAGGACTTGGGGCAGTTAGGCGCAGGCAGGGAGGCGTGTGTTAACCTTAATTTCATTTTCCTTAGCGCCTGTTGCGTTTCCTGCGCTCGCTTTCTCTCTCCCGCTACTAAACCTGAATTAAAACACCCCAGGTTTCCTGTGCCCGAAGTCCTGCTTTTAAGAAAAGGAGCAGGAAGCTCAATAAAAAGGACAATTACCGTAGTAACCAATCTAGCTTGTGCCAACGCAATGAGGAAGTATAGGACAACAAAGGGCTCTCCCTTCTTCTAGGTAAAGGGACCCCTGACCATTAGGTCCAGTCGTGGCCGACTCTGGGGTTGCGGCGCTCATCTCGCTTTACTGGCCGAGGGAGCCGGCGTACAGCTTCCGGGTCATGTGGCCAGCATGACTAAGCTGCTTCTGGCGAACCAGAGCAGCGCACGGAAACGCCGTTTACCTTCCCGGTGGAGCGGTACCCATTTATCTACTTGCACTTTGATGTGCTTTCGAACTGCTAGGTTGGCAGGAGGAGGGACTGAGCAACGGGAGCTCACCCCGTCGCAGGGATTCGAACCGCCAACCTTCTGATCAGCAAGTCCTAGGCTCTGTGGTTTAACCCACAGCGCCATCCGTGTCCCTCTCCCTTTTTCTACTGAGTCCCAATTTCCAATGTTACCTCTACCAGTGACATTTGCTTCTCCAACACTACCATATTTGGGCAGCCTGGACCCCCTCACACAAATCTATCCAGTTTCCTTTGCTGCCTTTAATTCCTGGTTTAGGCAGCGAGTCTTTTCCTAGCCTTACCCGGGACCTGCTGCAAGCAAGGAAGAAGCCTAACCACTGAGCCACAGGCCCTTCTCTTTAGAGGGACGCAGGTGGCACTGTGGTCTAAACCACTGAGGTTCTTGGGCTTGCTGATCAGAAGGTCAGCAGTTCGAATCCCCATGACGGGGTGAGCTCCTGTTGCTCAGTCCCTGCTCCTGCCAACCTTGCAGTTCGAAAGCACGTCAAAGTGCAATTAGATAAACAGGTACCACTGCAGCAGGGAGGTAAATGAAATCATAGAATCATAGAGTTGGAAGAGACCACAAGGGCCATCGAGTCCAACCCCCTGCCAAGCAGGAAACACCATCAGAACACTCCTGACATATGGTTGTCAAGCCTCTGCTTAAAGACCTCCAAAGGAGACTCCACCACACTCCTTGGCAGCAAATTCCACTGTCGAACAGCTCTTACTGTCAGGAAGTTCTTCCTAATGTTTAGGTGGAATCTTCTTTCTTGTAGTTTGGATCCATTGCTCCGTGTCCGCTTCTCTGGAGCAGCAGAAAACAACCTTTCTCCCTCCTCTATGTGACATCCTTTTATATATTTGAACATGGCTATCATATCACCCCTTAACCTCCTCTTCTCCAGGCTAAACATGCCCAGCTCCCTTAGCCGTTCCTCATAAGGCATCGTTTCCAGGCCTTTGACCATTTTGGTTGCCCTCCTCTGGACACGTTCCAGTTTGTCAGTGTCCTTCTTGAACTGTGGTGCCCAGAACTGGACACAGTACTCCAGGTGAGGTCTGACCAGAGCAGAATACAGTGGCACTATTACTTCCCTTGATCTAGATGCTATACTCCTATTGATGCAGTCCAGAATTGCATTGGCTGTTTTAGCTGCCGCGTCACACTGTTGGCTCATGTCAAGTTTGTGGTCAACCAAGACTCCTAGATCCTTTTCACATGTACTGCTCTCAAGCCAGGTGTCACCCATCTTGTATTTGTGCCTCTCATTTTTTTTGCCCAAGTGCAATACTTTACATTTCTCCCTGTTAAAATTCATCTTGTTTGTTTTGGCCCAGTTCTCTAATCTGTCAAGGTCATTTTGAAGTGTGATCCTGTCCTCTGGGGTGTTAGCCACCCCTCCCAGTTTGGTGTCATCTGCAAATTTGATCAGGATGCCCTTGAGTCCATCATCCAAGTCGTTGATAAATATGTTGAATAAGACCGGGCCCAAGACAGAACCCTGTGGCACCCCACTAGTCACTCTTCTCCAGGATGAAGAGGAACCATTGATGAGCACCCTTTGGGTTCGGTCAGTCAGCCAGTTACAAATCCACTGAGTGGTAGCATAGTCAAGTCCGCATTTTACCAGCTTCTTTACAAGAATATCATGGGGCACCTTGTCAAATGCCTTGCTGAAATCAAGGTAGGCTACATCCACTGCGTTCCCTTCATCTACCAGGCTTGTAATTCTGTCAAAAAACGAGATCAGGTTAGTCTGACATGACTTATTTTTCAGAAATCCATGCTGACTATTGGTGATCACAGCATTCCTTTCTAGGTGCTCACAGACTGTTTGCTTAATGATTTGCTCCAGAATCTTCCCTGGTATTGATGTCAGACTGACTGGGCGGTAATTATTTGGGTCCTCTCTTTTCCCCTTTTTGAAAATAGGGACAACATTTGCCCTCCTCCAGTCTGCCGGGACTTCGCCTGTTCTCCAGGAATTCTCAAAGATGACTGCCAGTGGTTCTGAGATCACATCTGCCAGTTCTTTTAATACTCTTGGATGCAGTTCATCTGGCCCTGGAGACTTGAATACATCTAAACTAGCCAAGTATTCTTGTACTATCTCCTTAGTTATTCTGGGCTGTGTTTCCTCTGCTGAATCATTTGCTCCAAATTCTTCAGGTTGGGCATTGTTTTCTTTATCGGAGAAGACTGAGGCAAAGAAGGCATTGAGGAGTTCAGCCCTTTCTGTGTCCCCTGTTTGCATTTCACCATCTTCTCCTCTGAGTGACCCCAGTGAAATGTCTGGGGAAATTCAGATGTATGACAGCCAATGTGTAGATTTTGGCACATTCATAGGTCAAAAACTTTTTTTTTTTTGAGATTTTGCAAAGAAAGCCCATCAAGCCTTGGCCAAAAAAACACAACACAAAAAAACCCCCTCAATAATTTTGCCCCCTGAAGTCCAAATTTTCACTATTTGAAAAATTGCAATCCTATATTAAGCGGCATAGAAATTAAACAATCAATCAACCATCTTTCCTAAAACCTGTCACAAGGTGGCTCTGTCTGTCATTGTTGGTGCCACCTGATACTAATACCTGTCTTTTGCCTTTTGTTGTTGTTTAGTCGCTTAGTCATGTCCAACTCTCCGTGACCCCATGGACCAGAGCACGCCAGGCCCTCCTGTCTTCCACTGCCTCCCGCAGTTTGGTCAGACTCATGTTTGTAGCTTCGAGAACACTGTCCAACCATCTCGTCCTCTGTCGTCCCCTTCTCCTTGTGCCCTCCATCTTTCCCAACATCAGGGTCTTTTCCAGGGAGTCTTCTCTTCTCATGAGGTGGCCAAAGTATTGGAGCCTCAGCTTCAGGATCTGTCCTTCCAGTGAGCACTCAGGGCTGATTTCCTTCAGAATGGAGATGTTTGATCTTCTTGCAGTCCATGGGACTCTCAAGAGTTTCCTCCAGCACCATAATTCAAAAGCATCAATTCTTCGGTGATCAGCCTTCTTTATGGTCCAGCTCTCACTTCCATACATCACTACTGGGAAAACCATAGCTTGAACTATACAGACCTTTGTCGGCAAGGTGATGTCTCTGCTTTTTAAGATGCTGTCTAGGTTTGTCTTCGCTTTTCTCCCAAGAAGCAGGCGTCTTTTAATTTTGTGACTGCTGTCACCATCTGATCCGCAGTGATCTTCCGCCTTACCATTATCCAAAAGGCACGAGCCACCCTTTATTTATTTATTTATTTATTTATCTATCTATCTATCTATCTATCCATCCCTTCATCCATCCATCTCTCAATCAAGCCATCAGTTGGACTTACACCTCACAGGCACAGTGAAATATGATTCCAGCATCTTCCAGCGCCGAGGGCCTTCTGGCGGTTCCCTCATTGCGAGAAGTGAGGCTACAGGGAACCAGACAGAGGGCCTTCTCGGTAGTGGTGCCCGCCCTGTGGAACGCCCTCCCACCAGATGTCAAAGAGATAAATATGTAACGCTGTACTGTTTTTAACACTGATTGGGAGCCGCCCAGAGTGGCTGGGGAAACTCAGCCAGATGGGCGGGGTATAAATAATAAATTATTATTATTATTATTATTATTATTATTATATTCCACTGTGGCCAGCTTTAAGTGGAGTTAAAGCTCCCTGGGCAGAATCAGGATTTCCCTGCCCACCCCACATGGCTGCTTTTGGGAGTGCATTTCATGCCTGCCACTGAGTGCCAGAAAAAAATGTCTTCCACGTTGCCAAACAAGCATCTTAGGGAAGAAAAAGATTTACCTGCCAGAGGTGGCACAGATTCTCTCAGCAACGCACCTGCGTTGGTCCTGTTCTGTACTTCTCCAAATAATCTTTGCTCTGCCAGACCTCCAGGCAGCAGAGACCTTTTCTCTGTCTCTTGGGCATCTGCCAGGTAATCAGCATCGGGGTCTGCCAATCTATTTGCCAGGTGGAAGTTTTTGCCTGTTTGAAAGGGAAATGAGAGGGAGGGAGAGAGGACAAGACTTAGGCCCCAAATATCTGTATCTCTACAGACCCTATTGGGTGCTAAGATCGGCAGAGGAAGCCCTCTTGGTCGTTCCACCACCCAAGGGCAGTGGCTCAGGAGAGGGCCTTCTCTGTGACAGCCCCTAAGATGTGGATTTCCTATAGAGGTGTGTCTGGCACCTTAATTGTATAGATTTGTCATATGCAGAAGACATACCACTTCTCCCCTGGCCTCCTCGCTGGCCCAAGTAGGACCAATTCAGCCAGCTAGCCCTGGGGATTATCTAATTGATTTTTGATTATTATTATTATTCATATTTTTATACTGTATTTTATGCTGCTTTTATAATTAAGTGTTTTAAAGTGTTTTAAATTTGTTGTTAGCCGCCCTGAGCCCAGTTTTTGAACCAGGAAGGGTGGGGTATATAAAAAAAATATTATTATTATTATTTACTCTGACCTTGACACCAGGTGTGTGTGTGGGTGTGCATATTTAGGATCCAACCTATTTTTCTCATTGCAAATTGTTTTAACTAATTTCAATGTTGCGTTTTTATATAGCTATAATCCATGCTGGGAACTTTACGGGGAAGGGCAGATAAGAAATCCAATCAATAATCACCACCATTGTCACCATCAATCGCTTCCCTGTGTGGGAAATTTTTTAAATGTCTAATGTTTTGCAATTTTATATGCGCTGCAAGCCGCCTAGAGTGGCTGCGGAAATCCAGTCAGATTATTATTATTATTATTATTATATAGCCCTGTTTAGGGAAGTTTTTAATATTTAATGCTGTATTGTTTTTAACACTTGATTGGAAGCCGCCCAGAGTGGCTGGGGAAACTCAGTCAGATGGGCGGGGTATAAATAATAAATTATATTATTATTACTATTAGACATTTCTGCCTCTTGCAGCTACCTGTTTGAAACTAAACCTCCCTGAAAGTTTAGAAATGCCATACTTATCCCTTGGAACAGCATGTTTCCAACTCACCGGCACAAGCTGTGATAAAGGGAAGAGAAAAAGAGAGTTTGACACAGTACTTTGGGAAAGTGCAGTTTCAAAAGGTTTCTTAACACCCTCCCTTCCCTTGCTTGGCTCTGAGGGCACTAGAGTAGGCCCAAGGAGGACCTTTTCCCCCAGGCTCAGGTTCGTATTTTCTTCCGGGCAATTTTCCGGGGGCCACATTTCATTTCACTTATAATTTGTGTTATGTACTGAAGTTCTCACCCTGGGCCAGCAGGGGGATACTGTAGATAGTTCAGGTCCACATATGCAAATAAGGGATCGAAAGTGACGTTCAGTGATTGGATAGTTACAGAAAGTTGTTACAGTTACATCGTACTGGAGCTCTATATAAGCAGGCTGACTGAACCCTTCAGTTCAGTTCTGTTCTGGCCTCTGAATAAACAAGAGCTGTTTGAAGAATCGCTGTGTCGTCTGATATGTTCACCCACAACTTAACAACTTGTATACTGCCTTTCTATATATTACTATATGTAAACCGGTTTACAAGCTTAAGAAACAACAAGATCGGCAGTAAAGATCACACACCTAATAACAATCTGATCCAATACGAAGAAGTCACAATAACTTTAAAATAGACAACATATCAAACGCAGCGATATTCAGCAACCCATTAGAATATAATAGTGAACAGTAAAATTAAATATCAGCAAATAAGAATAATTTAACGGTTCACACATATCAGTTACAATAAAGAATTACTGAAGTATAATCCATAAAAATAACGGCAAGTCACAATGCATAAAATACCACAGAAACTTACAAAACCATGTAAAAGGATCGAATTGAGAAGCCAGCGGTGGATGAGGTTAGAGGCAAAAGTGGAAGGAGAACAAATAGCCAATTTTAACTTTGCACAATAGGATAGCTTCTATGCATGCTCTCACAAACCCCACAAGCATCCATCCAAAATCTCTATTTTGCTGGCTGGCAATAATGTATTTATTACTGCACAGGTTGCAAAATTTGCCTTGGCTGCATGTAAGTTGAGAGCTAGGCACCAAGACAAGTATATCATAAGTGTGAGAAGTGGAGTGCTTAACTTATGCAGGTGTGGTTTTTGCATTTCTGTTTGTTTTAAGGGACGTGGGTGGCGCTGTGGGTAAAAGCCTCAGCGCCTAGGGCTTGCCGATCTAAAGGTCGGTGGTTCGAATCCCCGCAGCGGGGTGCGCTCCCGCTGCTCGGTCCCAGCGCCTGCCAACCTAGCAGTTCGAAAGCACTCCTGGGTGCAAGTAGATAAATAGGGACCGCTTACTAGCGGGAAGGTAAACGGCGTTTCCGTGTGCTGCGCTGGCTCGCCAGATGCAGCTTGTCACGTTGGCCACGTGACCCAGAAGTGTCTGCGGACAGCGCTGGCCCCCGGCCTATAGAGTGAGATGGGCGCACAACCCTAGAGTCTGTCAAGACTGGCCCGTACGGGCAGGGGTACCTTTACCTTTACCTTTATATGTTTGCTTTGCTGTTGTTGCTGTTCAGTTTTAAATCAATTACGGTCGTAACTTCCGCTTACGTATCCCTCCGCTTACATAAACTTCGGGATACCTAAGCTGCAAACCCGGAAGTATATTTCTGGGTTTTTGCCATCCATGTGTGTGCGCAGAATCGGTCCCTCCAGTTGCGGAAACGTTAGGATCCGACCAGAGCTGTGGAACGGATCCCATCCACAACCGGAGGTACCACTGTATTTGTATTTTACGCATTGTGACCAATTGTGATGGCTTATAGCTTTTAGCGATAAAGATTTGATTCAAAGCATTCATTCATCCCTCCAGATAAATAAGAGGGTGAAATATATTCAGAGTCGAGAGTGGATTTCATGCTCTTTATTCAGCTCATAGTGGTGAGGAGGAATGGAAGTTCCCCCAGAATGTCTGCTTTATATACATTATTTACACAATGGGCCCCACGTGATTGGCTAATTCCGGGATTCTCCTGTAGGCCAATCAGGTTGCGGATTCACTTCCACCTGGAGCTGGATTGGGTGGCTCCTGTGGACCAATCAGACTGCTGCATTCTGGACCCTATTGTTCTAGGACCAATCAGACTGCTGCATTTTGGATCCTATTTAACTCAATACATAACACCCCTCCCCTCTAAGTTCCAGTCCTGCCCAGGAGGTTGCATCCATAGTCCTCATAACAGAGGGATTGTCAGATTTAAAGGACTACTAGCCAGGCAACAAAACAAAACACTCAATGCGTATAAAGCAGAGCCAATGTGGCCTGAGGAGGCTTCCAAGGGCCAGGCAGAGAGGTTTGGAGGGCCGCATTCATTCCTCAGGTCTGAGGTTCCCTACCTCTTCACTTAGAGAGCCAAAAGCCATAACAGAGGGACCAGCGTGAAAATGGAGGGATTTTCTGCTCCAACCCCGCAGGGAGCAGGAATTTGCAAACTGCGGCTACGGAGGGAAGTCACGACCGCCCACAACGAAGGTCACGGTCGCCGCAAAGACCTCGTGCCCAGCAAGAGCTGGGATTCATCTAGCCAGCTGGCTTGGCAAAACAGCCCGGTTTGCAGCTAATGGGGTGAAATTTGCTTTGACAGTCAAGACTGTGCCAGCATTCAAATTGATCCAATTTACAGTAGAGGAGTCTCAGGGGCTGCCAGTCTCAATATTGGGGGCGGGGGGGGGGAGAAGAGGGGCTGCTTTGGCTTTGCTCACCATCTTCGTCGCTCATCTCGCTCCTGACGATGTCCTTTACGTCTCCCACCTGTGGCAGAAGCAGAAAGCAGAAACGCGGAGGTTAGGATCCTGCAAACGCTACTTCCCAGCTTACTCTTGCCTGGCACTCAAAGTAGATTCTGCCTGCCAGGGGTGGGCAAATGCGGCAGTTTAAGCTTCTCTCAGGTCCTTGGTTTTCCTGTCTTAAGTTGGATTCCCCATATTAGTTTACACTTTTATTATATATATTATATATATATTTACTTTCATTGTTATAATTTTGTGTGTGGGTGTGGGTGTGCGGGTGTCTGCACATATGTGTGTTTCTGTATGGAATGTTTGGGAGGAAATAAGATGGTAAATAACAAATGACAAACTAAATATTGATGTATGTAATTTTTATTTCTTAATTATATTTAGTGGTAGTATGGTTGTATTGTTTTTTGTAACATAAAATCATTCAATAAAAATTATTTCCCCCTAAATATAGTATGTCTCTGTATGTTATTCCCAATAACATATGAATTTATGTGAACACCTTACTCTGGGATATGCATATCTGTGCTCATAATGTGGCTAGAGAACTGCACTTCAAAATTTCGAAGGATGCGTGTGCTGTGTTTCAGAAAGTGTGAATTAGGTAAGTTTACCTTTCAGCGCAAGCAACTGGATTTCTCTTCCCGCCCCTAGATTCTAGCCCATTCGTCCTTTCTGGTGCTCGTTAGGGATATCACGTGACACCCCCCCCCCCGGCTCAAATAAGACATTCTAAGAAACTGGGGAAACTGGCTGGGGAAACTCAGTCAGATGGGCGGGGTATAAATATTAATAATAATAATAATAATAATAATAATAATAATAATAATAATCAAACTTCTTGCTCATTTCCTGAGGGTTTTGGAGGATCTTGCAAAACGGAATCAGTCACAGAATCAGAGAAGTGTGGGGTTGGAAAGGACCCAAAAAAATCACAGAGTCATAAATCTATGAATAAGCCACTTACAGAAAGTCCAGGATCTCCCTTTTCTCCTTTCCGACCAGCTGGGCCATCCTCCCCCTGTTGAAAAGACAGATGCACTAACGTAAACAAACAAAAGGTATGGGTGGAGAAGTTTGCATCCACATCAACCCTAATAATTGTTGGTGGCAAGGGGGGGGGATAGGTATATAAGGAGAGAATTCTCTGAATGCCATGATCCAGGTTTGGGACAAGTGTTAGTTGGTGAGAGAACCCCAACGGAGATTTAAAATCACAAAATATGCAACAAAGTAAAGAGCGGAAATACAGTCTGTTAGATTTTTAAAACTTGCCCTTATAAGTTCCTTTCAAAGTTCCCTTCTTTCCTCAGCATAAAAAAGACCACACGTTTGGCAAATTTAAATTGGTTTGCTTACAAACTTGCCCTTATAAGTTCCTTTCAAAGTTCCCTTCTTTCCTCAGCATAAAAAAGACCACACGTTTGGCAAATTTAAATTGGTTTGCTTACAAACTCTTCAAAGATTGAGTTAATGTGATTCCCCATACATCAGTCAGAAAAACACAGGCAGTAAACATGGCTTAGTTACAGTGGTAACTAAGTTCCTGAATTATGGCTTGTAAGAGCGCAAAATATGGTCTGAAGCTCAACATCAAAATAACGAAGATCATGGCCACTGGTCTCATCACCTCCTGGCAAATAGAAGGGGAAGAAATGGAGGCAGTGAGAGATTTTACTTTCTTGGGCTCCATGATCACTGCAGATGGTGACAGCAGCCACGAAATTAAAAGACGCCTGCTTCTTGGGAGGAAAGCAATGACAAACCTGGACAGCATCTTAAAAAGTAGAGACATCACCTTGCCAACAAAGGTCCGTATAGTAAAATCTACTGGTTTTCCAGTAGTGATGTATGGAAGTGAGAGCTGGACTATAAAGAAGGCTGATCGCCGAAGAATTGATGCTTTTGAATTATGGTGCTGGAGGAGACTCTTGAGAGTCCCATGGACTGCAAGAAGAACAAACCTATCCATTCTGAAGGAAATCAGCCCTGAGTGCTCACTGGAAGGACAGATCCTGAAGCTGAGGCTCCAATACTTTGGCCACCTCATGAGAAGAGAAGACTCCCTGGAAAAGACCCTGATGTTGGGGAAGATGGAGGGCACAAGGAGAAGGGGACGACAGAGGACGAGATGGTTGGATAGTGTCTTCGAAGCTACCAGCATGAGTTTGACCAAACTGCGGGAGGCAGTGGAAGACAGGAGTGCCTGGCGTGCTCTGGTCCAGGGGGTCACGAAGAGTCAGACACGACAAAACGACTAAACAACAACAACAAGTGCCATGTGGTCTGAGCTGCAGCAACCAGCTCAAACCTCTTCAAACGCTGAGCTTCTCAGATAGACTGAAGGGGAACAATATGCTTGATTACCTTTCTTCGTAGGTGAGGGGGAGTGACCGAGCTAAGCCTGGCAGGACAGCTTACTCTATGCTCTTAACCCTTTCATGTATTGATTAGATTTAAGCATGCTGGCTATCCCACAACAATGTATTGCAAGCATCCAAGATATCAGATCCTCAGTGTTTCTTCATTGCTGAGCTGATGCACCCTCCTTGCTTCCTGCAGCCCAGGCATCCTGGCACTGAACCCTGAATCAACACTAAACTCCCACAGAACTACAATGAAAGACCCATTGGCCCAACTAGCTCACTACTGTCCAAAGTGACTGGCAGCAGTTCTTCAGGGCTGGCCTCCCCGAAATTTGCCCCCAGTTCATTGTTGTGAAGTATCTGTATACCAAGAAAGGATCAAATGCCCTGGACATTACATAACAGAGGTTAGCAATGCCATATACCGTATTTTTCCATCTATAAGATGCCCCCATGTATAAGACTATTTTTGGGGACTCAGATTTAAGAAAATGGGGGGAGATGTATCCGTGTATAAGACGCTCCCTAATTTTTGACAAAAAAACCTAGTCTTATACACAGAAAAATACGGTATTAAGAGAACCCTGCTAACAGTGAAGGAGCCCCAGCAAACAGGAAAGCACATCAAAACAGGCTCAAAGAAGAAAATAAAGGAAGGGGAAAGGATTAGATATCAAAGATGGGCATGATCGATTGGAGAACGTTTCTGCAACTAATTCTAACCAGGTTTGTGGTTTAGAAATAGCAACATGATGCCCCAGAAGGCCACAGGCGGGCCATAGTGGTCCATTTTTCTGAATCTGCTCTCGCTTACGGTGTTCAGAGCGGCGGCGCAAATCGCATCAGTCGCAGATGGGACACTGGCAGAAAGCTGTTAAGGGGTGAGGTGGGGGGGGGGAAGCAAGTGACAGCTGCCCGCAGGAAATAAGCAAGGCTGTGACTCAGGAATAGCTGTCCCTGCAGCAGTCCATACAGAAGAAGAATCACTAGGCAATGAGAGCCGAAAGCCAAGTTGCAAAGCCGGAATTGGGAAGAATTCTGAAATGACAGCGCTTTGGTAAACAGGTCTTCCAGAGTTTGCGGAGTCCAGATGTGGCCCTCCAGGCCTCTCTGCCTGGCCCTTGGAAATCTCCCCATCCGCACCCCTCTCCCCAGACCACACCCCAAGTACTTTTGCCTGGCTGGGAATGATGGGAGCTGCAGTCAAGAAATCTGGAGGTTGCCACATCAGCAAGGACTGCACAGCAGATGTGCTCCAACTAAGCTCGCTTCCTGATGAACCTGTTCAATGAGCATTCATGCTTGTGGAGACGTCAGACAATGTCAAGCAAGCATTATCCCACACTTGGTGGATGGATGGATGGCGGCTAACAGATTGAGGTTGAATCCTGACAAGACAAAAGTACTGTTTTGGGGGGACAGGAGGTGGGTGGGTGTGGGGGACTCCCTGGTCCTGAATGGGATAACTGTGCCCCTGAAGGACCAGGTGCGCAGCCTGGGAGCCATTTTGGACTCACAGCTATCCACGGAGACGCAGGTCAATTCTGTGTCCTGGGCAGCTGTTTACCAGCTCCATCTGGTATGAAGGATGAGACCCTATCTGCCTGCAGACTGTCTCACCAGAGTGGTGCATGCTCCGGTCATCTCCCGCTTGGACTACTGCAACGTGCTCTACGTGGGGCTACCTTTGAAGGTGACCCAAAAACTACAACTAATCCAGAATGCGGCAGCTAGACTGGTGATTGGGAGCGGATGCCGAGACCACATAACACCAGTCTTGAAAGACCTACATTGGCTCCCAGTCTGTTTCCAAGTACAATTCCAAGTGTTGGTGCTGACCTTTAAAGCCCTAAACGGCCTCGGTACCTGAAGGTGCATCTCCACCCCCATCGTTCTGCCCAGACACTGAGGTCCAACTCTGAGGACCTTCTGGCGGTTCCCTCCCTGCGAGAAGCAAAGCTACAGGGAACCTTCTCAGTAGTGGCACCCGCCCTGTGGACCGCCCTCCCACCAGATGTCAAAGAGAAGAACAACTACCAGACTTTTAGAAGACATCTGAAGGCAGCCCTGTTTAGGGAAGCTTTTAATGTTTCACAGACCACTGTATTTTATTACTTTGTTGGAAGCCGCCCAGAGTGGCTGGGGAAACCCAGCCAGATAGGCAAGGTATAAATATTATTATTATTATTATTATTATTATTATTATTATTATTATTATTACTACTACTACTACTACTACTTTCCAAGGGTGATCACAGCCTCCTGTGGAAGTGAGTTCCACAGTTTCATGATGCATTTTAATTGGGCAACTTGGATTGGCTGGTACGGGAATGACCCTCGCCCTCCAAATAATGACAGTCTGGAAAACAAACACAAACATCTGTATGGCATTCACGCCATCCCATCCAACACTCTGTTTTCTATTTCATAGGACTCAGGTCTGGCAGGGCTCAGAATACTCACCACTCCTCCTTTGTTGCCAGGAGTTCCTGGGGGTCCCCTGAGACAAAGCTGTTGCCTTCCTCTTCTACCCCTCTCGCCCTGGAAACAGAAAAGGCAGCCCTATAGTGTCTCCTCTGTAACTTTGACTAGTCAATGTCCTTCGGGGGAGATGTCCACAGCCCAATGCTGGGAGATGTGAACATTGGCAGAAGACAGTTGATGAACAGTGGACCTGCCAGACCACACATCCCTGGGGTAGACGATGCAGTGCCCTACATAGGTTATTGGACTCCAGCTACCATCATTGGCGGCCCCCATGGCCAATGGTGGATGTCACAGACTGGTTGGACGCAGAAGAATGATGGGACGAACCAGCTGGGGGAGCAACCAAGGGAAGAAGGCTCAGAGCCAGGGGAGCAGTGGTAGGACAATGAGGAGTGGTCAGAGGGAGAAGACTGGGAAGAGGTGGCACTGGAAGCTGAAGAGGCAACAGGGTTCAGTGAGCAGGAAGAGGCTGTGGCTGAGAGCAATCCAGACTCAGAGGTAGAAGCTGAAGCTGGTGAGTGGGAAGAGGGAAGCCAAGAGGCAGAGATGAGATAGGCTGGAGAAGAGGCAGGGATGTCTCCCCCTCCTGCTGCGACCACCCCCCTGCCTCCCAGAACCAGAAGAGGGCTGAAAAGGGCAGAGCCATGACAGGCTGCATGCAGGCGCAGTCTCTGATGTGGGAATGTTGAGGGTGGCAGGAGAGGATATATTGATTATTAATATCCTTCCTAACTTGCGCTAGCAAGTTTCTTCACTTAGCAGAGGGCATCCCCCTTCTTACGCAGCAGAAAACAAGTTGCGGACTCGCCTGAGCCTTTTACTATTATACAATTCAATCTAGCTCAGACTGAATTGTGTGTTCCTGCTAAGATCCCCTTTGAACCCCTCCTAAAAGAATAAAGAAACCACAGTCTTATTCATCAGCAACAAAAAGTTGTTTTACTTACGATCAGGCAGAGCACAGTGTGATCCCTGAAGGCAGGCTTAAGGCTTAACATTACAAACATGTACAAACAGGCTTGCCCCATATGGGAGATGACTTGGGGACATAGCTGTCAACCGTCCCTTATTTGGCAGGAAACTCCCTTATCCCAGCGCCGTGTCCTGCCGCTGTCTCTTATTGATGATGTCCCTTCAATTTCCCGGGTTTCAAAGGAAGCAGCTCCTCTCCCTCCCTCCCTGCTGGCCAGGGAGGAGGGCGGCTCCAACTGTGTTGCTTGGCTGCCCAGCCCGCCCCCTTCCGGCCTCCTCTCACCAGCCTCAGCCCCCAGGAGCCCCTCCCCACCAGGACTGGCGGGAGCCTTGGGCCCTTCCGCCGCTATCCTCCTTGCAGCCGCCGAACTGAGCGTCTCTGCCCAGGGCCTCCCCTCTGCCCATTGCCGCCGCTCCCGCTAGGCCGTACTGCGGCTGTGCCGCCGAAGGACCCGGATGAGATGGGCAGCCTGGCATGGTCTATGAATTGCTGAGGAGCCTTGAGAGGAGAGCGAGGGCAACCATAGAGAAAGCAGTTCAGAGAGAGGAGGAAGAGGCAGAGGCGGAGGCGGAGGTGTGGGCAGGTGTTCCAAGGGCTACAAGGGATGGACCGCAAGCGCTTCTCCCATAGATTTGGAGTGGTAGACTAGCATAGATGGTCTGATCTGCGGGTTTACTTCAGGCGCTATTCCCCCCCCCCTTCCTCCTGCCCCACCTGATGGAACTGAGAGCTGCAGATGGAGCACGAGAGAAAAGATACAGAACTGCAGCAGCATCTTTGTAGCTTGGACTTCGTTTTGCGCGAAAAGTGGTTGCTGCTTGCAGTTATTTAATTGCAATGTTTCATCGGCTAGTGTCTTGAGCAGCAACCTCTGGAAATGAAGGGCTAAAAACCGGCGCTGCTCTCCAAAATTATCTGGTCCCTTTTAACTTCGAATTTCAGCTGGTTGTCTAAAATCCCTTATTTTGGCTGCTGATCCCTTATTTTTGAGGCTGCTGGTCCCTTATTTTCAAATCTGTAAGTTGACAGTTATGCTTGGGGAACTCCTGTGGCAGCCAGCAGTACAGTCGGTGATGGAGGAAGGTCAAAGAGAGAGGATGGTAGCAGCATGCCTTGGCCTTTTACCAGGTCTGGAAAGTTCACGCCCACCCACTAGTCACATGCAAGGAAGGATGCTCCAGGCCAGAAGGAACAGGAAGTTTCAACTGGCTGGACCAAACATTCTCTTGCAGGTCCACTCTAGCAAAACAAGGAATGTTGTACTTGACTGCTCCCAGTGGATTTCATCCCACATCTGATTGCTTGGGAAAAGCCCAGGAGAGAAAGGGACTTAAGACAGCTGTGAGGAGGTAGCGACTTTCAGTCTCAACAACTGATTTCATGGTTGAAGAACCCGCCTCCTCCGGAATAAATTTTGTATTTATACCCCGCCCTCCCCAGCCAAGGCCGGGCTCAGAGCGGCTTACAAGCAATAATAAAAACAAGTTGAATGATTACAACTTAAAAACAAAATTAAAGTACAACATTAAAATATTAAAATGTAGCCTCCTCACAGGAGGAGAAGGAAAAGAAAAAAGAAAGAGAGGGAGGGAATCAAATTGGCTCCAAGCCAAAGGCCAGGCAGAACAACTCTGTCTTACAGGCCCTGCGGAAAGAAATCAGATCCCGCAGGGCCATGGTCTCAAGAGACAGAGCGTTCCACCAGGCCAGAGCCACTGCTGAGAAGGCCCTGGCTCTGGTTGTAGCCAATCTAACTTCCTTAGGGCCCGGGACCTCTAGGGTGTTGCTATTTATTAACCTTGAGGCTCTCCGTGGGGCAGACCGGGAGAGGCGGTCCCATAGGTACGAGGGTCCTAGGCCATGAAGGGCTTTAAAGGTCAAAACCAGCACCTTAAATCTGACCCTGTACTCCACCGGGAGCCAGTGCAGCTGGAAAAGCACTGGGTGAATATGCTCCCATGGCAGAGACCCCGTGAGGAGCCTCGCTGCAGCATTCTGCACCCGCTGGTGTTTCTGGGACAGCTTCAAGGGCAGCCCCGCGCAGAGCGAATTACAGTAGTCAAGCCTGGAGATGACCGTTGCATGGATCACTGTGGCCAGGTTGGGGCGGGAAAGGTAAAGGACCAACTGATACTGGGAGATATGAGTCCAACAGCATCTAGAGGGCATCACATTGCCCACTCTGACTTTTACAGGGAAGATGGAGCCAACGCTAAACTTAGAGATTCTTCCTAATCAGGGATGAGGAGCCTCTGCCCCAAGAGCTATTTGGCCCTTGCGACTCTCCCCAGGCCATATGCCCCTCCTGAGCCACACCCATCACCTCCTCTGCTTTGACCTCACACTCAGGAAGTGAGAATTAGGCAGGTTTGCATTTCTGAACACATTGTTTGGTTGGAGAACTGCATCACAAGATTCAGAGAAGCCAAATTTCAAAACACAACAGTGTTTGAGAATTAGGATGGACAAACTGGTCAGTTTTGCTTCCAAGGATTGGCAAACTTTTCTTTCTTCCTGACCTCAGTGCAGATCAGGAGAATTTTTTTGCTGCCTTCTTGAGCGGGGCAAGAGTTACCGTATTTTTCGCTCTATAGGACGCACTTTTTCCCTTCTAAAAAGTAAGGGGAAATGTGTGTGCGTCTTATGGAGCGAATGCAGGCTGCACGGCTAAGCCAGAAGCCAAATCAGGGAGAGGGAGCCCGTTAGCCTAGGTTTTTTTTAGCCTTTGGTTCTGCGATGGAAAGAACCACACAAACATGCTCCTACCTGCGTTGGAGAAAAGGGCATTTGGCTATCCTACACAGGAGGAAAAGGTGCTTCTCCATTCTCTCTGCTCGCTGCCCCGAGATCGATAAACTCCCGGCATGAGGACTCTTTGCCCTTTGACGGCTACAGCTCCCCACTGCATACTCTCCTCCATAATTTAGGGTTCAGAGATGGAGAGACAGAGAGAGAGGTGGCGGAGGCGGAAAAACTCTTCATGTTCTCTCGCTAATCAGCACCAAAGCGGGAATGGCTAATGATCTCTTAGAGGGCTCTTAGAGTGTGACTACCTCCTGCCACTGATATAAAAGTCCTAACCTCTTAAAGCATGTATGAAGGCAGCGCTCTCTTGTCTCTCCATCCCTCCCACCCTGGCCCAGTTCACTTTTCATCTGCTCTTTTAATTTATTTTTCAAATGACACACAGCAGCCGCTAAGCTCTCCTCTTGATCTTTGTGACCACCCACATCCCTGGCCCAGATCTACCACTGTGACCCATGGTCCCATCGCCTCTCCGGACTACTGTGACGTGCTCTTTGCAGGGCTGCCCTTGTAGCCTGTTTCAGCTTTGACAAGACTGGAAATAAGGCTACGAATAAACCACACGGTCCCCCCAAAATCTTAAATGCAAGACAAACGCACCCCAAAGTGCGATGGACTTCAGTGTAGTGGCAAATTCAGAAGCGCAGGTCCATTCATGGCCGTCACAGCCATGCCACCTCCCCTTCTAAGCTTAGGCAACCTTCTAAGGTTATAAAACATTCTTCTAATTATACAATAAAATAATTAGGGGTGCCTCGCAATGATCGATGTGGATCTTCATGTGTTGCCTTTCAGCTAAATCTACTAGTGTTAGCGTTTGATAAATGGGATCCTTTCATCATTTGCTGGAAGACGTATTCTAACTTTATTTCTCTGACATAAATTTGGTTGGCTTTAAGGAAAGGATTGCATTCAACAAAACAAAACAGAACAAGCCCTGCAGGAGATTCTGTTTCCTTGCTTCCACCCCTGACCACCAGAACCCACCAAAAATCTCTTACCTGTACTCCTGGCTCACCCTGAGGTCCTTGCAGGCCAGGTGGTCCAGCAACACCCACCTTGCCAGGTAGGCCTATCTGTCCTTTGAAGCCCCCCAGGCCAGGCACCCCCTTGGCGCCCTGCAAGTTTGAACAAAGACTTCCTCTCAGGATACAGCATTTGTATTGCTTTCAACCTCTCTCTGTGAGGATCTCAACATCTCACCTGTGAGGGTTGATCTACCCAACGGAGCTCAGATCATAAAAAAATGACTGTAATGCAACATAAAACTTATCGTCCATCTTAAAACAGAGCAGGGGTGTAGAACCTCAAGCTTGGGCCTCAGCTGTGGCCCTTCGTTTATAAATACAGTGGTACCTCGGATTACATACGCTTCAGGTTACAGACTCCGCTAACCCAGAAATAGTGCTTCAGGTTAAGAACTTTGCTTCAGGATGAGAACAGAAATCGTGCTCCAGCGGCACGGCAGCAGCAGGAGGCCCCATTAGCTAAAGTGGTGCTTCAGGTTAAGAACAGTTTCAGGTTAAGTATGGACCTTCAGAACGAATTAAATACTTAACCCAAGGTACCACTGTATATATAAAAATCTATTTATTTGGTTTTTCAGGTTAAAATTTTACAGTCACATATCAAACATACAACATAAAAACAAGATTCCAAGGAATCTCTTTGACTTCCTTTTCCCCCTTTGTTGGTCTTATTGTTAGTCATTTCCTCCTGCATCTTTTATGAGAATCCAAATCTTTTACATCTCCATTGTGTCCAAAATTCACCATTAAGCTACAAGTGATATTTTTCCAATCCTACTCATGATTTTAACTATTTACAATGGTTGTTTTTTAAGATAGGTTATACATTTCCCCCATTCCTTATTACAATTTTGACCTTCCTGATTCCTGATTCTTCGCGTCATTTAAGCTGTTTCGGCATAATTCATCAATTTAACCTGCCATTCTTCGTTGGTAGTGAATTTATCTTCTGTCCATCTCTGGGCCAATAACAGCTGCACAGCTCTGGTCACAGATGTGGCGCTTCGGACCTCCCACACTTGGCCCTTTCTTTAGATCGCACCTCTCACCAGCTGTGCTCCACAACCCCCTCCAGTGCTTTTGCCCGGTGAGGAAGTGTTTCTCTGGATTGCAGCAATGCCGCCAGGTTGCCTAGATGCGGGGTTCAGAGGGTGTGTGTGTGTGTGTGTGTTTGTGTTACTGAACCCCCTGGCCTTTGTGCAGTCAAAATGTAGTTCACTTCACAAAGATGATGAAGAAGAAGAGTTTGGATTTGATATCCCGCTTTATCACTACCCTAAGGAGTCTCAAAGCAGCTAACATTCTCCTTTCCCTTCCTCCCCCACAACAAACACTCTGTGAGGTGAGTGGGGCTGAGAGACTTCAGAGAAGTGTGACTGGCCCAAGGTCACCCAGCAGCTGCATGTGGAGGAGCAGAGACGCGAACCCGGTTCCCCAGATTACGAGTCCACCGCTCTTAACCACTACACCGTCTCCCAAGATAAGAGTTGCATCAATTGCTTTCCCCTCTGGTGCCGCACATGACAGAAAGGCAGCCCCTGGAATGTTATCTGCAAGGAAATGTGGCCGGAAATCTCCTCTTCATGCCAAAGGTCCCAGCTTTGGTCTCCAGAATCTCCAGGTAAGTCCAGTAGAGACTTTGGAGAGCTACTGTCTGTCGCTGCAACTAACACTGAGCTAGATGAAGCAATGGTCTGGCTTGGTGGAGGCGACTTGTGCAAATTATTTAGACCAGGCTTTCTCAAGCTTGGCTCTCCAGATGTTTTGAGACTACAATTCCCATCATCCCTGACCACTGGTCCTGCTAGCTAGGGATCATGGGAGTTGTAGGCCAAAAACATCTGGAGGGCCAAGCCTGATTTAGACAGGCCGATGAATAAACGAGTCCTTGCTTAACTTCCTTCTTTCTCCAGCTTAATAGGTTCTTGTTCCCCAAGAGAGTTTCTTGGCTCTATAAATAGAGAAGTCTATCCATCTCAAAGGGGGAGGCTCGGTGTTCAGAGATGATGACACCACCCCTGGCAGGTAGAAGCCTCCTGAGGGGGAAGGAGATGAATGACTGAAACCAAGAATGGCTGCCGTGGGCTGGCTGATTAAGTTGGGAAATCCTGGAGAAGATGGATGGGCTGCTCTTGAAAGGCCGACTTTCCCATTTAGTACAAGTGAACCCCAGTGACTCTCGATGTAATTATGAAGAGAGAGAGAGAGAGATGTTGCAAAAACAGAGCGATTGAGAAATGTGATGTGCTCAGAACAGTCAGCAAGGAAACAGGAAGAAGACTGAACTTCTGGAGAAGGCTATCAAGAGCTAATAACCTTGGTGGGTATGGCTTCCCTCCCCTGTCAGAAGCAGTGTACTTCTGGTCATGTTGTGCGGATGCCTGATGATCGTCTTCCAAAGCAACTGCTCTCTTCCGAACTTAAAAATGGAAAGTGTAATGCAACAAAAGAGGTTCAAAGACTCTCTCAAGGCAAATCTAAAAAAATGTAGTATAAAGTCTTAATAATAGGTGGTAACTCTTTATCGTGACCGGGGATTTGAAGCATGGGTGTTCATCGCCCTCTCTTTTTCACATGCTTTTTGCTTCATGGTGGAAGAAAGGGGTGGGGCTTCCAGCACAGCAAGGGTTAAAGCTGCTGTTGCAACACAAAGGCCAAATGAGGCAAAAACCCAAAGGAAATCTTCTTTGGAAAAGTTGGCATTTGCCTTGCAAAAAAAGGATAGCCATATTTGAGCATCAGAATATAACGTTGTTAACCACGACTGATAGATGTCGGAGGACTAAATAACCTTTCGCAACATGATTTCAGCAGCACTGACCTTTTCTCCTTTCTGCCCCGAAACTCCCTTGGGCCCGTCTGTGCCAGACTCTCCGCGCTCACCCTAGGCAAAGCCCAAAGATCGCTGTAACCATTATGGAATAAACCCATGCAAGCAAACTGATAAACAGGGATGAGCGGGGGGGGGGGGGGGGCAGGACACCGCGGAAAGTTTCGTTTTTAAAAAGGGTGCATTGAAATCCTTAAAATTTGTTCCTTCTATGGAAAAACACATCCAGAAGCGGGTGATGTGAAGAACAGAAGTACCGTATTTTTTGCTCTATAAGACTCACTTTTCCCCTCCTAAAAGTAAGGGGAAATGTGTGTGCGTCTTCTGGAGCGAATGCAGGCTGCGCAGCTATCCCAGAAGCCAGAACAGCAAGAGGGATTGCTGCTTTCACTGCGCAGCGATCCCTCTTGCTGTTCTGGCTTCGGAGATTCAGAATATTTTTTTTCTTGTTTTCCTCCTCCAAAAACTAGGTGCGTCTTGTGGTCTGGTGCGTCTTATAGAGCGAAAAAATACGGTAATTGGGAGGGGGTGCTTAACCCTTGCCCACCCACCGCTTTTCTTCTGTGGCTCCCTGCTGCAAAATGACTTTCCCCTGCAAAATTACTCGTTTCCCTTCACAAACATGCGCCTGGAATTCTGCTAAGTCGTGGGTCGGCAAACTAAGGCCCGGGGACTGGATCCGGCCCAATTGCCTTCTGGCTCTGGCGCACAGACAGTCTGGGAATCACAACGTGGATCGGCATGGGGATTCTGATCGTTTGGGATGCGCCATTTCCCTCCCCCCCGGCGGCGCCTCCTCCCTCCCTCCCTCCTCCTGGCTTCTCCCTGCCCTGCCTAGAGGGAGGAGGGGGGCTGGGCTTTGTTGAGCCGCAGTTGGCTGAGTGACATTTTAGGCAGCCCCTCTTCGGAGCCAGCCCTTTCGCGCCGCTCATCGTCCCTCCGCCGCCGCCGCCAGCCCCTGCCGTTTGCAAGACACAGGTAATAATAATAATAATAATAATAACATTTATTTATACCCTGCCCTCCCCGGCCAGAGCCAGGCTCAAGGCGGCTAACAACAGTAAAATAACAGTAAAAACATAATAGGAAAAAAAACCCCAATTTAAAATACAGCTTAAAATGCAATTTTAAATGCAGCCTCATTAAAACCATAAGGGGAGGGCAACATAAGGGTCAGACTGAGTCCAAACCAAAGGCCAGGAGGAACAGCTCCATCTTGCAGGTCCTGCGGAAAGATGTCAAGTCCGCAGGGTCCTGGTCTCTTGTGACAGAGCGTTCCACCAAGTTGGGGCCAGTGCTGAAAAGGCCCTGGCCCTAGTTTGAGACCAACCTAACCACCTTGCGACCTGGAACCTCCAAAATGTTGTCATTTGTGGACCTTAAGGTCCTCCGTGGGGCATACCAGGAGAGGTGGTCCCGTAGGTACAAGGGTCCTAGGCCGCATAGGGATTTAAAGGTCAAAACCAGCACCTTAAACTTGATCCTGTACTCCACCGGGAGCCAGTGCAGCTGGAAAAGCACTGGGTGAATATGCTCCCATGGCAGGGACCCCATGAGGAGCCTCGCTGTGACATTCTGCACCCGCTGGAGTTTCTGGGTCAGCTTCAAGGGCAGCCCCACATAGAGCGAGATACAATAATCGAGCCTGGAGGTGACCTTTGCATGGATCACTGTGGCCAGGTCGGGGCGGGAAAGGGTGAGTAAGCAGCCACCGGTGCTTGTCCAGTACTGTGGAGACGGGAGGGAGAGTCGGGGGGATCCCCCCCCCAAAAACATAGTCTGGTCCCCCCACAAGGTCTGAGGGACAATGGACAGGCCTCCTGTGGAAAAAGTTTGCTGACCCCTGTGCTAAGTGAATGGGTGCAGTAGTAGTGGAAAAGAAGCGGGTTGGGAAAGGGTTAAGCATGCCTCCCCCAAGACACTTGTCTGCTTCAAATGCCCTTTCCCAAAGCCTCTTCTCCCTAAGAGAACCAGCAGTCAACACACACACACCTACGGGACCGCCTCTCCTGGTACGTCCCACGGAGGACCTTAAGGTCCACAAATAACAACACTTTGGAGGTCCCAAGTCGCAAGGTGGTTAGATTGGTCTCAACTAGGACCAGGGCCTTTTCAGTACTGGCCCCGACTTGGTGGAACGCTCTGTCACAAGAGACCAGGGCCCTGCAGGATTTGACATCTTTCTGCAGGGCCTTTGGCCGAGGCACAGTCTGACCCCCTCCTTTGGTAATCCTCATAGAACTCTAGCCCAATGGTTGCCATTAATTTGATTCTGAATTGATTTTAGAATGAATTGATTTTAGAATGCATTTTAATTAATTGATTGTGATTTTATGTAAACTGTGTTATTTTAACTGTCGCTAGCCGCTCTGAGCCCGCCTTTGCCTGGGGAGGGTGGGATATAAATAAAATTTTATTATTATTATAGTCCACTGGGTAGCAGACAATTATTATTATTTTAAAAAGCTTTGCACCTCACCTTGGGTCCCAGAAGCCCATCTGCACCTGAGGTCCCTGGACTCCAACGCCACCAATTTCCCCCTGTGCATGGAATGAGACACAGAGGAATTAGCCAGTCCTTTTTGCACACAGGTACAAGTGGTGTTTTTTTTTTTGGGGGGGGGGCGCTCTGTATCTTCTAAATGTTTTGGCTCTTTATTACGTCACAAGATAGTGCTCCAACTTTTGAGGTCTCCAGGACTCTTCATCAGGCTAGATTTTAAACAGAGCAAATTGGGGTGGGGGTGGGGGTGGGGGGTGCTGGCTGACAGTGAAGCCATGGGATGAGGTCTGTAATATTTAAGAGAACTTAATAATAAAAAAAATCCCCCCCAAGCCACACATATTTGGGTATCTATTGGGGGAAGTGGAATGCAGATATTCAAGGCCTGTTAAGTATAATTGGTTTAATTGACACAGAAATGAAACATAGATTGCTAAAAGTTTAACATGTGGATTTTCCATAGCACTCTGAGCTCTTGCTGAGCCGATACTTAATTAACTGGTTGTTGTTCTCTGGTAGCTAACACGTGAGTGTTGTAACCTTAGACCATGCGATGAAGGTATTGGGTTGCAAATATCCATGTGGAGGGGAACTGCTTTTGTGTCCTGTCCTGAGCCTGTGCTGGACAGTACAAGACATTGGATGACTATTTTGGATCGTTTGATGTTTTCTGTTGTATTTTGAGGAGTTCTGCTAGTAAAATTTGAATAATATCTTTATGGGTCTGGACAAGGCTTCCTTTCCAAAAGGAGTCAGTTTTCATGCGTCCAGTCGTGTCAAACTGCACAATATTAATATCTGCAACAGGGCCAACCCAAGACATTTCCCTAAAACCACAACTTCAAATTAAACAACTAACAATGTGCCACCTTTTCATGACACACAAAATCTGCTGCCTGAGGCAGCCACTGCACTCTGCCTAAAGACGGGGGTGGCCTTTTAAGCATTAAGATAGGGCCACACTAGGTTCTTTGCAGGTTTCAGGTGAAACCCAGGACTGCTGGGAAGAAAAAAAACATACAGTGGTGGATGTTATGTACTGAGTTGAATAGGATCCAAACTGCAGCAGTCTGATTGGTCCTAGAACAATAGGATCCAAAAGGCAGCAGTCTGATTGGTCCTAGAACAATAGGATTCAGAATGCAGCAGTCTGATTGGTCCTAGAACAATGCAGCAGTATGATTGGTTGGCAGGAACCACCCAATCATGCTCCAGATAGAAGTGAATCCACAACCTGATTGGCTTACAGTAGAATTCCAGAATTAGCCAATCATGTGCAGCCCATTGTGTAAATAATGTATATAAAGCAGATACTCTGAGGGGACATTCATTCATTCCTCCTCACCACTATGAGCTGAATAAAGAGCATGAAATCACTTTGCGACTCTGAGTATATTTCAGTGGACCCCCATTTAAATACATATATAGACTTTATTTTTTTATTTTTACCTTAATTCCATCTGCTCCTGGAGGTCCTGTCCTTCCTGGCAACCCACGTAGACCCTGAGGACAAATTGTGACCAGGCAATGAAGACGTACAACGAGAGCAGACCCTCACTGTGAAGGATCTCAATCCAGTTATTATCTCTCAGTTTAACCAACCTCGTGTGATGGCCTGGGATTCGGACTCGGAGGCTGAACCTGAGGGATCCCAGCCTGCACAGGATTCCCCGCCTCCAGAACCAGCTGAGCCAGGGAATGAGCCTGAAGGGTCCTCACCTGTGCTGGATCCTCAGGTTCAGGCACCAGCTGAGTCTGCTCTGGCTCCGGAGGTGATGGAGGACCCATTGCCTGCAGGTGCTCCACTCTCAGCCCCAACAGAGGAAGCTGAGGTTGCCTCTGGGTCCAGGAACCCTCCAGCCTCTCCTGGGCTGCAGAGGCTCAGGGCAGAGAGGCAGAGGGAACTAAGTTCCCGCAGGAGGAGTGCTCGCCTCCAGGCCAGGAGAGGCGAGTCTTCAGAGGATCGGGGCCGCCCTATGCCTCGGGGCAGATAAAAGCCAGTCAGCCCCAGTCCTAGGTTGCGGGAGCAATGTTGTTGATAGCCTGTTCCTGCCTGCACCCTGACCTGCTTTCCTGCCTGAGCTCCTGACCCACCCTGGCTCCCTGCTTGCATGTTTATTCCTGACTTCACCCGACTCCCTGCCCTGCACCCAGCTTCAGCTACTACGGACTGCGGCCATGTTGCACTTTTGACCACGGACCGGACTTGGACCTCGCCTCTCGGTAACCCATGGGACCAGCGCACCTCGCAGGATTGTTGTGAGCATAAAATGGTGTGGGGGGGACCAATTATGTCTGCCCTCCCTTCCGTGCAGAAATAGAAGTCTAAGGTTTGATGGCATGGTTGATATTTTGTGATTACAGTGGTGACTCGCAAGACGAAATTAATTCGTTCCGCAAGTTTTTTCTTCTTGCGAGTTTTTCGTCTTGCGAAGCACGGTTTCCCATAGGAATGCATTGAAAATCAATCAATGCGTTCCTATGGAAACCGCCTTCAGACCAGGTCCGGGGACAGTCTGTCCCCCGACCTCTTCTGAAGGCTGGGGGGGGGGGGACAAGGGCTTTTCTTCCCACTGCCAGCCTTCAGAAGGCTGTTCTGAAGGCTGGTGGTGGGAAGAAAAGCCCTTCTCCCCACCTCCCGCCCCGCAAGCTCCGGGGACAGGAGGGCTTTGCTGCCGACCGCCAGCATTTTAAAAGCCCCCGGGACAGCGGAGACTTCTCCGCTGTCCCGGGGCGATCTTAAAATGCTGGCGGGTGGCAGCGAAGCCTTCGCTGCCGCCCGCCAGCATTTTAAGATCGCCCCGGGACAGCGGAGAAGTCTCTGCTGTCCCGGGAAGGCAGGCGGGGGGGAGCAAAGACAGTGAAGGCTTCGCTGCCGCCTGCCAGCATTTTAAGATCGCCCCGGGACAGCGGAGAAGTCTCCGCTGTCCCGGGAAGGCAGGCGGGGGGAGCAAAGACTTTTGCCCCCCGCCGGCCTTCAGAAGAGGTCCAGGACCTCTTCTGAAGGCCGGCGGGGGGCAAAAGTCTTTGCTCCCGACGGCCAGCATTTTAAAAGCGGTCCGGGATAGCGGGAAAGTGCAGCGCAATTCCTTGCTATCCTGGACCGCTTTTAAAATGCTGGCGGTGGGGAGCAAAGACTTTTGGCCCCCACTGGCCTTCCTGGACCTCTTCTGAAGGCCGGAGGGGGGCGAAAGGCTTTGCTCCCCACCGCCAGCATTTAAAAGAGTTCCAGGGAGATTTCCCTATGGGCTTTCTTCTTGCGGGGCACCACTGTATTTTGTTTACTACTTAACAGACATTTTGATGTTCATTTTACTGTTTTCTTGAGCTTACTGTGCCTTGCCCTGGGTTCCTAGGGTGAATGACAGGTAAGAAATGCACCTACTGCACAGAAAAGTGAAGAAATAAAACAGCCAAGGGCATGTTGTGAAGATGGAGAAGAGGAATAAACAACGAGTTAATTATGAGGGGGGTGGGAAGTGAGAAGTCAGGCCCCCTGAGTTGCAAGCAGGGCAGGACATGGTGATAAGCGCCGCAAAACTCCAATTTTCCCCTAGATGTGTTCACACTGTACCTTTGAACCTTTCCGTCCAATGTCACCAGATAGACCAGGATCGCCTTCTCCCCCCTGAATGGAGAGAATAAATGTCCATCAATCAATCTTTATTACGGTCCAGAGACCCAACAAATCGTTACAAAGCAATGCACAATTCAAACAGCCTACTGCAAAATATCTACGATCTCTGCTGCAGGTACCCAACTGTGTCCCCAACTCCATACTTCTGTTAGAAGCTAATGAATGCCCAACTAAAGCATGGTGTTCTGCCCTAAAACATTGGCTCAGGATTTCAGTGTTTGATCTAGGGAAGGGTTTGTACCAACACCTGACCAATGAGGAGTTTGTCCGCAAATGGCAGAAAACCATGGCTGGAAAAGCCACCTCTATTGGTCTGTCACCCCCCCAAACTTTATTACCTGGGTTATGAAGGCACCCTAAAAACATTAAAGCAAAGATTATGGGATAATACACACAGTGACTTGCGATCTCGATCACACGCAGTCTGTAGTCCGTTGGCAGCAGGAGTGCAATATGGGCATGTATTTAAGTTAACACCTTACATTAAAAACCTGGTGGTACCGAATTATCGAAGGTTATTCACCAAGGCCAGACTAAACGTCTTTCCTTCTGCAGTGTTGGATGGCAGGTTGAGAGGAGTTCCCTACCAGGACAGACTTTGCTCGTGTGCTCAAGAATAAATATAGGCTGTAAACCACAAAGAAGAAGAAGAGTTTGGATTTGATATCCCGCTTTATCACTACCCGAAGGAGTCTCAAAGCGGTTAACAATCTCCTTTTCCCTTTCTCCCCCACAACAAACACTCTGTGAGGTGAGTGGGGCTGAGAGACTTCAGAGAAGTGTGACTGGCCCAAGGTCACCCAGCAGCTGCATGTGGAGGAGCGGGGAAGCGAACCTGGTTCACCAGATTACGAGTCCACCACTCTTAATCACTACACCACACTGGCTCAAGTTTGCAGGGCAAATTCTCAAAATGCAGAGCTCCTAATGGAATCGCGCTCAGCTTCAGAAACAGCTGTTGACACCTGCAAATCACCAACTTCTTCATTCTTGTGTACAGTAATGACTTCTCTTAATGCCAGAATGCTAGGATAGGGCACAACACAAAGACATCCCTGGATTCAGTAACTGTATCTGCATCGCCTAGATCTGTCACCCCTTGGTGACATGGCACCAAGACATGCATCCGCCGGCCAATTTCTTGCTCACAGAATGACCTGGAGGTTTGCTGCGAGAAATAACCAGGAGACAGTGAGGCAAATCACCTCTTCCGGGGGGGGGGGCGGGGGCGGGGAGTGAGTGAGTGAGTGGGGAAGACCTTGCCATTTCTCATTTGCCCGGGCCAGCTGGCACAAATATTTTTATTTCTTTATAATTCCTTTAACAAATACCATATTTTTCGCTCTATAAGACGCACCAGACCACAAGACGCACCTAGTTTTGGGAGGAGGAAAACAAGAAAAAAAATATTCTGAATCTCAGAAGCCAGAACAGCAAGAGGGATCGCTGTGCAGTGAAAGCAGCAATCCCTCTTGCTATTCTGCCTTCTGGGATAGCTGCGCAGCCTGCATTCGCTCCATAAGATGCACACACATCTCCCCTTACTTTTTAGGAGGGAAAAAGTGAGTCTTATAGAGCAAAAAATACAGTATATATATATATACTGCTTGATTGTAATGAAGCTGCCAAGCGGTTTACAAAACAACAACAGCAAGGCATTAAAACGATCAATAAAAGACTGTGAAAAGCAGGAGTTCGTTCAAAAGACAATTAAAAGCATCAGCTGGGAAAAAAAAGACATGTGCTTTGATCTCAGCTTTGGGATAGGCTTGCCGAAATTAAAATGTTTTAAGCAGGTGCCACAGAAAACACAAGCATGGAGTTGCTGTCCCACTAAAAGACTGGCTTCTTACAACTGTGGAAAATAGTCTTGTCTGACACCCATAAGAGTGCCAGTTCTGCAGATTGAAGCCATGGGGGTAAGGTGATCTTGAAACACACACATTTCAAGCTCTCCATTATCCAGTCGCATAGGGATGAGGGTGGCGCTGTGGTCTAAACCACTGAGCCTCTTGGGCTTGCCGATCCGAAGGTCGGCAGTTCGAATCCCCGCCACTGAGTGAGCTCCTGTTGCTCTGTCCCAGCTCTTGCCAACCTAGCAGTTCTAAATCACACCAGTGCAAGTAGATAAATAGGTACTGTTGTGGCAGGAAGGTAAGCGGCGTTTCTGTGCGCTCTGGTTTCTGTCACGGTGTTCTGTTGCGCCAGAAGCGGTTTAGTCATTTGGCCACATGACCCAGAAAGCTGTTTGTGGACAAACGCTGGCTCCCTTGGCCTGAAAGTGAGATGAACGCCGCAACCCTATAGTCGCCTTTGACTGGATTTCACCGTCCAGGGGTCCTTTACCCCTTACCTTTCACCTATCCAGTCGCACGAACAGCAGGGGATGTTAGGAAGGAAGGGGAAATCCATGCTAAAAATGCTCACCGGTTCCCCTTTCTGGCCCTGCAGGCCTCTGTCTCCTTTTGCCCCTTTCATACCATTCTTCCCATCGAGCCCAGCGGTTCCCTGAAATGAAATAATACACAGTTCCTTCCTGCTGTGTGACTGGGGGAGCGAGAAAATTATGAATGACTCTAGATAGACGAGAGTTTCTCAGCATTCCGTCCCCGTGTCTGAACGTTCCATCCCAGACTCCCAACATTCTAAAAGCGAGCAGGTGGCACAGCTCAGGGTGGGACCAGGGATGATTTAAGGTTTATTTACCCATATATACAACCCGAGCCTGCAATGGAGGGGTTCACAACTTCAACACCCCAAAAAACGTCTTGTTTCTCCCATTTTTTCTTGGAAACAGAAATGAGCCGAGGCTCTGACCCTCTCTCCAGCTTGCTGCTTTTACCAGAGTGCAACCTTTAGCCTCCAAGTCACATGCTGGCCAACTCTCAACTCTGGCTTTTGTTATCACTTTCTCAGAGCTGGAGGAGGGGCCCCACCCATTTGCCACCTGGCTTTCTTAATGGGCTGTTACCTTTCCTTTGTTTTCTTAATGGCTCATCTCCCAGGCAATTTACCTCATTCGGAAACTGGCCTGGCTAATATTTTAACATTTGCCTTGGTTAAATCCTAACTCCCTGCTGGACCCTGGAATTTAAGGGAGTCTAGAGAGTCTCAAACGCATAAAAATATGTATTAAATTCCCAGTTGCAAAGTGCTGTCTTTCTCTCATACACATACAAAACCAGACGAGCCGCAGAAGATAATAGATAGGGGGGTGGGGGAGAAACGTAGCGCTGAAATTTGATGGGGCAATGGAGTGGTTAGCAACAGATGTCTCTTTGATAGCTCATCTCCCTTCTTTGGTATTAAAAATTCTATTACATCTGGCTTTGTATCTGCTAGAGAGGTAATGATTGTAAAGGGTTTCGCAGAGAATGAAAGATGCTTCCTGTACATGAGTCGTCTCCGCGAGATGGATTGCCCTGTGAATCAACAACACTTAATGGCTCACATCAATTTTCAGCCATTTGTTGGATGAGAAATATATATTCAGTGCGTTCTGTTTTTTAATATTATTATTATTTTTTATATAAAAAAGGCAGAACCATGTAACATCTTTTTTTATTCAAATACTGCATCAAAGGAAAGGAGAGTTCTGGTGAGTCATCCTCTGCAATTTGAGGCAAAGCTGGCAAAAGCCACTTGTAGTAACTGGAACCTGTTGTCTTTGTCCATGGAGTTTTCTTGGCAGGGATACTGGAGTGGCTTGCCGGTTCCTGCTCCGGGAAGTGAGAGCTGGACCATAAAGAAGGCTGATCGCCGAAGAATGGATGCTTTTGAATTCTGGTGCTGGAGGAGACTCTTGAGAGTCCCGTGGACTGCAAGAAGATCAAACCTATCCATTCTGAAGGAAATCAGCCCTGAGTGCTCATTGGAAGGACAGATCCTGAAGCTGAGGCTCCAAGACTTTGGCCTCTGTCTCTGGTTTCCATGTTGCAATACATGGATGGTCTAGAAATTGTTGGCAGAGATCGTCATACATTTTACATTTAAGGACCATGTCAGCTAGAGTTTCCACCAGGTGGGCATCGCATGGGCAGGTCCAGTCTCCTTCTGCCAAACCCGCAAACCTACCCTAAAGGTTAGAAGGATTAGAACTGAACCTAGCCAGTGAAAAGGCCCTTCTTTCTTCCGGATTAAACAAAAATTGTAAATAATTAAGATTAAATTCCTGTGCCCAAGAGAGTTGAAAATAAAGAGGGGAGCATGTTTCCCCCCGCAGCTGAGATTACCGTATTTTTTGCACCATAACACTCACTTTTTTCCTCCTAGAAAGTAAGGGGAAATGTCTGTGCGTGTTATGGAGCGAATGCCTGCGGGTGGCGGGGGGGATCTGCTGCAGTCGTGAGCAGAGGATCCATGGTTCCCCTTCCTTCTCTCCTCCGTGGTTACAAAGCATGGATCCACATGGATCCTCAGGATTTTTGCATTGGGCTACTGCAAACTCACTGTCAGATCACATGTGGCCACAGCATGAACCACAAAAATCATATATCCACTATTTCGTTTAGAATATTTTTTTTTCTTGTTTTCCTCCTCTAAAAACTACGTGCGTGTTATGGTCTGGTGCGTGTTATAGAGCGAAAAATACGGTAATTCCTGGCTATCTATGTCCCACAGCCTAGTTTTTAACATGGTCTTAGCGAATGGGAGAGCCACAGCGCCCAGGAGATCCTCTGAAAGCCCGAGTTGGGAAGCCATGTGGCTGAACTACCTGGGGGGAAATGGGAGTCATAGGCCAAATCATGCTTAATACTAACCCATTCTCCCCCCCCCCCGCCACTGCTGCAATACTTCACTGCCTGCTCCTGCTTCATTTATCACTTCGCATTTTCTACTTCAAGCACTTGATCAATAATTCCTGTTTTTTAATGACTGCTATAGAAGCTTTTAATATCGTGCTTTCTGTTTGCTCTCGGAAGACTTGCGACGTAAATGTCGGCGAATCGATGGCAGCAGCTGTTCCCTGGACCCTGGCATGGGGGTGTATCTCTGATTCCTTTCCTGCTACAACAAACACCTTTCCCTTTGCTCTCCTTTCCATCGCTTCCCTAAGCTGCTAGCTTCGTTAGTGGTGACTTGTGCAGAGTGGGAGTGGTAGGGCGGCAGGAGGGGAGACGGCCAGAAGGTGGCGCCGGACCCAATGACAGGTAGTGGGCAGCACAGTAGGGGCTGGCTGAGGGCAAACTGGATCTGGTGGGCCGTTGCTTCATTTATCCTAATGAACCAGCCTGCCTTGCTGTAAACACAATTCAGTTGGCATCTGTGTGTCCGAAGAAGCAATGGAGTGCGCCTCCAAGGGTGAAGCCAAACTGCTGCTCCAGCAGCATCGAAGTGACCTCCCTGGGGTGCAAGCCTGGGAGTCCTGGGCTGCCCAGAGGACAATACCCTCTTCTTGGCCTCTCTGATGTGGTCCAAAGGAAAGCGGAACGAGACGTTTGGCACCGGTTTGACTGCAGGAGTTGCAGGCATACAAGGTATCATCCAACCGCCTTAGGGACTCCAAATTTGTGTAGGGTTTACTCCTCAGCCTTTTCTTCTCCTGAAGAAGGCAGCAGAGGTTGAGGACCAGAGCTTTGCTTCTCCAAGACGGGCTACTTCCCCAGGTTGACAAGCCCCATCTACCCCTCTGCAGCTGTGTAGAGCAGGCATAGGCAAACTCGGCCCTCCAGATGTTTTGAGACTACAATTCCCATCTTCCCTGACCACTGGTCCTGTTAGCTAGGGATGATGGGAGTTGTAGTCCCAAAACATCTGGAGGGCCGAGTTTGCCTATGCATGGTGTAGAGGCTTCATAATTCAGTAAGCTTCCTTGGACGGAGGTAAGCCAACAGTCCATCTAGACACCAATGTTGTTGACACCAACTGCAGCAGCAGGAGTCTCTCCCAGCCCACCTGGAGTTGCTGGAAACTGAACAGAGACCTTCTGTGTGAAAACATCTCCAGCTCAACCAGGCATGGCCAAACTTGGCCCTCCAGCTGTTTTGGGACTACAATTCCTATCATCTCTGACCACTGGTCCTGTTAGCTAGGGATGATGGGAGTTGTAGACCCCAAAACACATGTAAGCACATTTACACGACCGGTTCCACCTGGAGCACTTGCGCAGGTGCGCGTTTTGTGCATAGACCGGGTATCCAGTTACTCCCATAATAGCCAAAGGTGCCTTGCAAAACTCTGCTGTTTCAGAGAAGCTTTGTAGATGCAGCTGCCATTTTTTAATTCTAGAGTCTTCTTGGTTTTAATCTTCTTCGGTTGCATGGCTTTATTTAAAAAAAAAGTCTAAGTTCAACATGGCAAGAGAGCAGCTGCAGTCTGAAGCAGACAGGGGGCACCGTGTTGGCTTCTGCCATGCTTGTCTGTTCCAAGGTGTGCTCCAGTTACTGTTGTTTAGTCCCATAAACATGTAAAATAATAATAATAATAATAATAATAATAATAATAATAATAATTAATAAACAACAACTACAGCATGTTCGACGAGTGCTGCATGGTGCGTTTTGCTCTGTCTACAACCTATTGGTCCCACTGCTGGAGACAGGACACTGGGTTTAGGCAGACCATTCATTCAATCCAGTCAAAGTGGGAAAAACCCCACAGAGGGGCATTCTGACTTACAGCAAATCCCGGCAATCCAGGTTCTCCCAGCTCACCCTGCCAGGGAAGTAAAGACAAAAATCAACACTTGGAAATGGCACTGAGCACATGATACAGGTGCTCACCTGAGGGATTTTGATGGAAAGCTCCTAGACTATTCCTAAACTCTTGCTAATTAGACTGCAGGTAGCATTTTCTTACTCCCAGGCAAGGAGGTATGGACTGTTATTTTCATTTTCTCTCGTTACCTAATCTTAAATTCAGTTCTCCCCATTTCGAAATCAATTTGCAGTTTTTTTTAAAAAAAGTCTTTATTAATATACATCAGCAAGGTAATGCAAATTTCTTCTAAAATGCACATTTTTGTATGCCATTTTCCCAACGCACCCATTTTTGCAAGCGATTTCCCTCGAATACTATACATTACGTTCACTAATATTTTTATATACTTTCCCTTGCTATGCATTTCTGCACACATCATTTGGATGGAATATTGCTCTGCCAAATATGTAGAAGCATGCATTTCATAAGACAGCTGTGATTCAGTTCACGTAGTGTGTCAGAAAGTGTCAATCCGGTAGGTTTGCAGATTGATCCAAATTTCTTTCCCATCCCTTCTCACAGGAGCAACCTGGACTGGGCAACTATTTCAACCCCTTCACAGCATAACCCTCCTTTTAAAGGACACATTGGAACAGGATTTTGCTTCGGTGCTTCTTGGCCAATCAGGCATGAATCCCCAGGATTATTGGCACTTGCCCCAGCCAATGGGGAAATGAGCTTTGCAGCTGGCCCACCCTCCCCAGGGTCCTCCCATGACTGAAAGCAAACAGGGCAGGAAAGGAATCAGCTATTTATTAGGTTGGAGGTCTTCCCAGTTAGATGGACTCTTATCAGATTGTTGGCGCATTAACCGTTAAGATGGATGCAGGTACTCGGAAAATAAGAGCAGGGGTGGTACAGCAATTTGGGGAGCAGTTTTAATTTATATTAATTCGATTTATCGTAATTTGTGTTCCTATGTTCTGTAGGCAATTTGGTACCAAGTTGCATCCTAAAAAAAGGGATGGGAGGTAGCAGTTCTCAACCTGTGGGTCCCCAGATGCTGTTGGACTACAACTCCCATCATCCCTGAGCTCTGGCCTTGCCAGCTAGGGGTGATGGGAGTTGTAGTTCAACAACAGGTTGAGAAAGGCTGGATTAAGAGATGGGTCTTCATCACACACACAATTATTTGGAAGCTGGGTTATCGCACTGAAAGAGAACATTTGCCTGTTCCTAACTTTGACATTCATTCCCTGTCTTGCTTTGGTCAAGCCATACAAGGTATCTGGAGGAACCGTTTGATGTGAGGCTGTTGCTTAGTTGACACAGAGGTTAATTCACCCCAACCCCAGGCTACATGTGTGAACACGGGAGCCATTCGGACTGACCTTCTGCCCCACTGGGCCTCTTGTGCCAAACAGACCCATGATTCCTTTCGCCCCGGCTTCTCCTTTCACTCCCTGAAATGAGAAAAAATACACTGAATGATCACGCGGAGAAAGATACATTGCAATACTCTTTCACCCAGGCTAGTGCCCAAAGTTATTAATTTATAAAATTATTTTCCATCATTTTTGTTATGTACTGAAGTTCTCACCCTGGGCCAGCAGGGGGATACTGTAGATAGTTATGCAAATAAGGGATCGAAAGTGACGTTCAGTGATTGGATAGTTTTAGAAAGTTGCTACAGTAACGTTGTACTGGAGCTCTATATAAGCAGGCTGACTTAGCCCTTCAGTTCAGTTCTGTTCTGGCCTCTGAATAAACAAGAGCTGTTTGAAGAATCGCCGTGTCGTCTGATATGTTCACCCACAACTTAACAATTTTGATTTGGGTGTTCAAAGTTGCAGGTTCAGCGAGGATGAGGGAGGACTTTTAAGCAAACTGTGAGGAAATCAAGTGTTTATCTGGTTTTGGATTGGTTTTTTTGCCCAAGTCAGAAATTGTTCAGCAACAGGTCATGAGGTTGGTTATGAATGCTCCATGGAAATGTGCAGTTCATGAGCTATTGACACACAGGGCACAATTTAGGGAAACCCACAAGACGTTTTATGTAGTAAAATGGATACTGGCAAGAAGGATAGTCAACTGCAATCTTCTACCACAACCACTGAGTTTTAAAGACAGAGGGAGCTGTTACAGTTAAGGAAATCAACAAAACCAAAGGAACCTTTTCTCCTGCTGGTCCATCTTCTCCTTTCTCGCCCTTGTCACCATCAAATCCTGGAGGGCCTCTTTCACCCTAAATAGCAACAGAGACAAAATTCTTTTTTCCAAATAAAAAGTCTTTATATTTATTAATGATATATATATATGAGCTCCATTAGGATGACCATGGTTATGGTGGCCATGGTTACATCTGCATTCCATAACCTCTCCTGTCTTGCTGACTTCTCCTAATTCATATCCTGGAAACGATGCCTTATGAGGAATGGCTAAGGGAGCTGGGCATGTTTAGCCTGGAGAAGTGGAGGTTAAGAGGTGAAATGATAGCCATGTTCAAATATATAAAAGGATGTCACATAGAAGAGGGAGAAAGGTTGTTTTCTGCTGCTCCAGAGAAGCGGACACGGAGCAATGGATCCAAACTACAAGAAAGAAGATTCCACCTAAACATTAGGAAGAACTTCCTGACAGTAAGAGCTGTTCGACAGTGGAATTGGCTGCCAAGGAGTGTGGTGGAGTCTCCTTCTTTGGAGGTCTTTAAGCAGAGGCTTGACAACCATATGTCAGGAGTGCTCTGATGGTGTTTCCTGCTTGGCAGGGGGTTGGACTTGATGGCCCTTGTGGTCTCTTCCAACTCTATGATTCTATGATTCTATGATATCCTGTGGGGCTGCTCAACCTGGTAGGCTAAACCATGGCTTCACCATATCTTGGGATCTTAACCAGGGTCAGAACAGTAAATCACAGTTGGAAATAACCATGGTTGAGCACCATATCTACATCAAATGAAGGCAGAGAGTTATCTGTGAGCCACTTGGATCCAGATTTGGTTTTAGTTGGGAGTCGTTATGGAACATTGCGTGGACAGGCGGAGTCCCCTAAACCTTGGGCAGCCCCCGTGTGGAATAACGACTCAAGACAAGGTGCTATGGGATTAAAATTGGCCACAACTTTATCATGTTTCAGATGTGGGTAGACCTTGGCTCAAGCATTGGGCGTTTATCCCTCTTAGTCCCCCGCCAGGGATCTGGGGAACATCAGGGTTATCCAGAGTGTGTGTGGGAGATGGGCTGGCTCTGGAGAACATATGTTCAAGCAGAGAGAGCCCGCCCCCATTACGCCGCCGTCGCAGGGGAGAGCAATGACGACCTCTCGGCGTACGGCCAAAGCCTCCCCTCAAAACAACCTCATTAATGGGGAACCCTGGTATTGCCGCCGCAAAGAGGAGGGGGCGTGGGTCACTGCTACATGCCCCCCCCCATTTAGGGGAGATAGACTAAAGGATTCCGCCCAAGGCCTGACACCGCCCAAAGTTGTGACTTTTTGCTACGGGGAAGGCAAACCTGCCAATGCAGGAGAATTCCTTTCCGGCCCTCCAACAGCGACCCTGAGGTAGCAGCGCCTGCGTACCTGTGCAGAAAAGGTTAACCTGCAAAATAAGTCTTAACTGAGGGTGGGTAGGGTGGGAGAAGCTCTGGAGCCAACTGACGTTTCCCAGGTAAGATCCTCCCCCTATTGTGTGGGCAGGTAGTCCCTCCCCCTACCTGGCCTGCTCACCTTGGCAACGCCTCCCAGGTGGGATTGGGCAACTGGCTGAGGTAGGCGGAGACCTCCAGGTCTCCCACCTGGCGAAGGCGAAGCCAAGCTTGTGCTAATGGTGCCGCATAGGGTCCAGGGGGCTGCGCGCGACCATGCAAAGGGCGCCCCCCATTTAATGTGGGGAGCGGTCATTGCGTGTTGCTTGTGGCTGTCACCAGATACTGGGAATTTGTCAAAATTCATTACTATTTGGGTTATTATTACTCTTAATCTCAGGGCTGTGGGTTCAAGCCCAACATTGGGCGAAAGGGTCCTGCCAGCTAGATTCTATGATCTATGAATTTTACTGATCTTAAAGCAGTCCTAGTTGGTGGCCATCATGGGGGTAATTGCTTCCCTCGCTCTTTCCCATTCATGATGCCAAAGATCTGGAATTATTCAGAGGCCTCTGGCTTTTGGTCCTGGAAGGTTTCATTCACAATATTGTTCCACCTGTGCAATTCACAGCCTGTGAAGTATTGAGGGGAAATCTAATCTAGATGTTTTATAGATGGTACTTAACACCTACCAAAATAGCTAAAACGGATAAGACAAAAACAAATCTGTGCTGGAAGTGTGGTAAAACAGAGGGGACACTTATACGTGTTTGGTGGACCTGTGAAAAAAGCAAAAGCTTCTGGAATACAGTGGTGCCTCGCAAGACGAAATTAATCCGTTCCGCGAGTCTCTTCGTCTTGCGGTTTTTTCATCTTGCGAAGCACGGCTATTAGCGGCTTAGCGGCTATTAGCAGCTTAGCGGCTATTAACGGCTTAGAGGCTTAGCAGCTTAGCGGCTATTAATGGCTTAGCAGCTTAGCGGCTATTAACGGCTTAGCAGCTTAGCGCTTAGCGGCTATTAACAGCTTAGCGGCTTTAAGAAAAAGGAAACAAACTCTCAAGAACTCGCAAGACGCTTCGTCTTGTGAAGCAAGCCCATAGGGAAATTCGTCTTGCAGAACGACTCAAAAAATGGAAAACCCTTTAGTCTAGAGAGTTTTTCGTCTTGCGAGGCATTCGTCTTGCGGGGCACCACTGTATAGTATATGACGAGCTTAAAAAAATGTTTAAGTAGAACTTTATGAAAAATACAGAAGCTTTTCTGCTAGGGATAACGGACACAGGCATAGCAAAAGAAGATCAGAAAATATTCCCCTATGCCACAGGAGCGGCAAGGATCCTAATTGCTAAAAAGTGGAAAAAAGAAACTGTGCCAACAAAAAAGGCAAACTGTTAGAGTATATTGAACTGGCTAGATTAACAGAGGCAATTAGAGATCACACTAGACAAGAGTTTTCAAAAGCATGGGGGAAATGCAGAGAATACTTCACAAAACAGTGCCCTAAAAATACCTGGACTTGTTTCGATTAATGTCTGCAGGAGACTTTGTGGATATTTAAGTTGTAATTGGAAAAATCTTAATAATTATTCATAAAGGAAACAGCTTATAAGAAGTAAACAAGGAGGCCAGATACAGGATAAAGGAAGTCTTTTATTTGGTTGTTTGTATTGTTGTATGTTATGCTCATTGTATGTTATGTTCACGTTGAAATGAGGGTGGATTTCTGTACTGGGGGTGGGGGTTTATGTTATGTTGCAAATAAAATTTCAAAAAATAAATAAATATTGTTCCACCTGTGCTGAGCCTCTGATACATGGCGAGGTTCTAGCTCACCTGGCTAGACAGGAAGTTCAGTGGTGGCACAGAGAGCAGCTTGTGGGATCAGCCGTGTAAGACCAACATAACAGGGGTGCTCCCCACACCAATCTCTGTGAGCGATGGAGAAAGCAAACTCCTATCAGAAAGAAAGGAAAATGCCCAACTTACGGGATCACCTTTGTTGCCTTTGTAGCCTTGAGGTCCAAATGTCGTCATGGGGTCTCCCTATGATTCAAGCACAGAAAAGAGAAAGGCCTTCGCATGATGAGTTCACCTTGAGTCAGAGCTGAAACTGAAGCTGGATTTAAAAAGAAAGAAAGCTGGACAAACAGATGCGAAGGAAATAAGCAGCTATCTTCTCTTTAAAAGACATCTGAAGGCAGCCCTGTTTAGGGAAGTTTTTCATATTTACTGCTGTATTGTTTTTAACACTTGATTGGGAGCCGCCCAGAGCGGCTGGGGAAACTCAGCCAGATGGGCGGGGTATAAATAATAAATTATTATTACTATTATAATAAATAGATGTACTGCTATTCCTGGTGGACAAATATGTCAGTTTCCACTTCTCTCGTTCCCTCAGCTTTTTTCCAGTTTTTCCTTTTTCCATTCTGCTTTTCAAAAGTCCTCGTGAAAACTCACCATCATTTAAATACTTGTGTCTTCCAACACACACACACACTGCTGTTAGTTGTGATTCCTGCATTGCACAGGGGTTTTGCTCCCAGCTCTACAGTTCCATGATTCTAGGTTTGGCTAATATGCACATTTTTGCAATTTCCCCTAATATCGTGCATTTTTTAATGTTATTGCCACAATTCCCCCCCCCCCGACTTCTGCACACACTTCCCCCTAATATATCAATTTTTGTATACATTGTTTGGGAAACTGCATCACAAAATTCAGAGCAGTGTGAATTCACAGGATCATTGCTTTCCAGTTCATGTTTTGTTTCGGGAAAGGAAAATGGAGCGTCAAAATGGAGGCGCAATCAATTTTTTCCTGCCTCACTATCCAGGAACCATTCTTGCTTTACGTGGCTCCATAGAAGAGATTGGCAAATGATGCCCCCTTGCATTTAATTGGTCCTGAAGCAGGCAAGGTTAGAATGGAGGAAGTCCAAATGTGGAATAGAAAAGGAAAAGGTTAGTAAATGCTGCCGTGGCAAATTGTCAACTTAATCACATCTCCTGCGCTGTTTAATTCACCCACTTCCGCCTAATGTTCTATTCACACTTTCTTCAGAGAGGGCATCACACATTCCTTTATGACTGGGAAACAGCATCTCCTCCAGCGAGGGAGAATCAGAAATTCATTTGTCGCAATGGCAGACAAGCTGCTTTGAAAACCCATTTCTTCAGAGAAAAATGGCAGACTGACTTGCCAGAGTGGTGTATGCTCTAGTTGGGGGACAGGGGGTGGGCAGGTGTGGAGGACTCCCTGGTCCTGAATGGGATAACTGTGCCCCTGAAGGACCAGGTGCGCAGCCTGGGAGTCATTCTGGAGTCACAGCTGTCCATGGAGGCGCAGGTCAATTCTGTGTCCAGGGCAGCTGTCTATCAGCTCCATCTGGTACGCAGGCTGAGACTCTATCTGCCCGCAGACTGTCACACCAGAGTGGTGCATGCTCTGGTTATCTCCCGCTTGGACTACTACAATGGGCTCTACATGGGGCTACCTTTGAAGGTGACCCGGAAACTACAACTAATCCAGAATGCGGCAGCTAGACTGGTGACTGGGAGCGGCCGCCGAGGCCACATAACACAGGTCTTGAAAAGATCTACATTGGCTCCCAGTACGTTTCCGAGCACAATTCAAAGTGTTGGTGCTGACCTTGAAAGCCCTAAACGGCCTTTCGTTCAGCCTGGACACTGAGGTCTAGCGCAGAGGGCCTTCTGGCGGTTCCCTCGCTGCAAGAAGCCAAGTTACAGGGAACCAGGCAGACGGCCTTCTTGGTAGTGGCACCTGTGGAACGTGCTCCCATCAGATGTCAAAGAGAAAAACAACTACCAGACTTTTAGAAGACATCTGAAGGCAGCCCTGTTTAGGGAAGCTTTTAATGTTTAATAGACTGGGGAAACCCAGCCAGATGGGTGGGGTATAAATAAATTAATTATTATTATTATTATTATTATTATTATACTCATGCATAGGCAAACTCGGCCCTCATCTAGAGGGAGCCGAGTTGTAGTTTTGGGACTACAACTCCCATCATCACTAGCTAACAGGACCAATGCTCAGGGATGATGGGAATTGTAGTCTCAAAAACATCTGGAGGGCCGAGTTTGCCTATGCCTGATTTAGCTGTTATTCCTGCATAGCTGAAACTAGAAGCTTCCTTCAAACTAGGGCCATCTTAAGCATATCCCCCCCCCACATTTCCCAGAGTTGTCGACCTTTCCCCAAGCCTCTGCAGGGATCGCTCTCCTCCCACGCAGGCTTGGGAGGCAAGCTGCACGCCCACCAGCCATATGGTTGACGGGGCACAGCTGGCGGACGTTCAGGGAAAGGGGAGGCCGCTGGCAAATTCGCGCAGCTCCCCCACTCCCTGGTGCGCCCCTGAGAGGCCAGCGCCCTGGCGCAACGAACCACTAAGACCAATGGGAAAGATGGCTCTGTTTCCAACTTCACCCCACCTTCCCTTTTCACTTTCTTGCCGACATCATTATCCAGGTGAAGTCACTGTTCAGGTATGAATCCAAGAGAGATATGCGGTGATGGGAAGATGGGGATCTCCCCCCCCCAAAAAAAGAGCAAGTTGTTTGGGTCAATTCAACCTACCCCATTACCCTGCAGTGTTAATTATTATTATTATTATTATTATTATTATTATTATTATTATTATTAATTTTTATTTATACCCCGCCCTCCCCATCCAAGGCTGGGCTCAGGGCAGCTAACAAGCAATAATAAAAACAAGTTGAATGGATACAACTTAAAAACAAGATTAAAATACAACATTAAAATATTGAAATATTATATTAAAATGCAGCCTCATCACAGGAGAAGAAAGGAAAAAGAAAAAAGAAAGAGGGGGAGGGAATCAAACTGGCTCCAAGCCAAAGGCCAGGCGGAACAACTCTGTCTTACAGGCCCTGCGGAAAGAAATCAGATCCCGCAGGGCCCTGGTCTCATGAGACAGAGCGTTCCACCAGGCCGGAGCCAGTGCTGAAAAGGCCCTGGCTCTGGTTGAAGCCAATCTAACTTCCTTAGGGCCTGGGACCACTAAGGTGTTGTTATTTATGGACCTTGAGGCTCTCCGTGGGGCATACGAGGAGAGACAGTCCCGTAGGTACGAGGGTCCTAGGCTGTGAAGGGCTTTAAAGGTCAAAACCAGCACCTTAAATCTGACCCAATACTCCACCGGGAGCCTGTGCAGCTGGAAAAGCACTGGGTGCATATGCTCCCATGGCAGGGACCCTGTGAGGAGCCTCGCTGCAGCATTCTGCACCTGCTGGAGTTTCTGGGACAGCTTCAAGGGCAGCCCCACGTAGAGCGAATTACAGTAGTCAAGCCTGTAAGTGACTGTGTTGACCTCTTTAAACATTGCTTACCCTTTCTCCTTTGGCCCCAGGAAATCCAACATCGCCCTAAGGAGGAGGAGTGTAAATGAAAACAAAGGAATATCTCATTAATACGATCACATTGCCAAATCCCTTGGCCAATTCTGAAAGAGAGAGTCCACCGTTGTCGTACCATGGGAGCACAGTGGCCAGTGACTGGGGAATGTCCACAACATGAATGGCTTTCCTTTGCTTCAGTGAAGAAGAAGAAGAGTTTGGATTTGATATCCCGCTTTATCACTACCCGAAGGAGTCTCAAAGCGGCTCACATTCTCCTTTCCCTTCCTCCCCCACAACAAACACTCTGTGAGGTGAGTGGGGCTGAGAGACTTCAGAGAAGTGTGACTGGCCCAAGGTCACCCAGCAGCTGCATGTGGAGGAGCGGGGAAGCGAACCCAGTTCACCAGATTACGAGTCTACCACTCTTAACCACTACACCACACTGGTTCTCTCAGTGAGCACTGCTGTCTTCCCAAGAATAGGGACCACATCTTAGCCAGGGAAGACACAATCTGAGCTGGGAACAGACAAGGCAGATAGGACTGGCCACACAGCCAAGGTGATGGGGACTACTTTTTATGGGATAGGTGGTGCCACCTGCCTTGTGGGAACTGGAAGCTGTTCAGAGTCCTTGCCAGGATTGCAGGAAGGTATATAAGAAACTGAAAGTCAACACAGACAAGACTGAGACACTCCCATCGAGTGGTTGCCCCTCACTAGATGAGTGGGATGTGTTTTGTTCTGGACACACTACCCATCCCCCCAAAAGAGAAGTTGCCCGATTTGGGGGGCACTCTTGGATCCAACATTGACATTGGAGGCCACATGGCACTTAGCACCTTCTATAAACTTTGACCGGTGACCCAGGTTGACCTTATCTGGACATGGGTAGCTCTGCTCCGGTTCTCTATTCTATGATAATCTCTAGGCTGGATTAATGCAATGCATTGTACTTGGGGTGGCTGCAGAGGATTGGGGGGGTGCACTTGGTGCATAACGTGAAAGACAGGAAGCTTTGAACATGTAAATCCAGTTCTGACCTGATTCCCTTGGCTGCATAGTAGTTTCTGGGATCAATTGAAACTGCAGTTTTTGACCTTTAAAGCCCTATATACAGCTTGGGACCGCAGTGCTTAAAGGACTAGGTAAAGGTAAAGGGACCCCTGACCATTAGGTCCAGTCGTGACCAACTCTGGGGTTGCGGCGCTCATCTTGCTTTATTGGCCAAGGGAGCCGGAGTACAGCTTCCGGGTCATGTGGCCAGCATGACTAAGCCACTTCTGGCGAACCAGAGCAGCACACGGAAACACTGTTTACCTTACTGCCGGAGCGGTACCTATTTATCTACTTGCACTTTGATGTGCTTTCGAACTGCTAGGTGGGCAGGAGCAGGGACCGAGCAACGGGAGCTCACCCCGTCATGGGGATTTGAACCACCGACCTTCTGATCGGCAAGTCCTAGGCTCTGTGGTTTAACCCACAGCACCACCCGCGTCACAATCTTAAAGGACTACCTCTTCCCTTTTGAACCTGTGTGGACACTATGATAATCATATGAGGCCCTTCACCCATGTCTCACCTCTGAAAAGTGGAGCACAGATAGTGAGGAATCAGTTAGTGGGTATCTCTCTGTAGTAGACCCCAACTTTGAAACCCTCTTTCCCCAGAGAAGCAGGGCCCCCAAATGCATGCTTGGGTTAAACATGGGTACCAGGTCTGGAAATACTGAGGATGCTCAACATATATATTCAACAATTGGCTACTTACCTTCTCCCCTTTTGGTCCCGAAAGGCCACTCTGTCCCTGTAAACATGCAGGGAAGAGATCATTACAAAAGCAAGAATTCCCACGAGTGAGCTCTCTCAAAAGTGTCTGAGATAGAAGTAGATCAAGGCTGCAAGAGGAATCCATCTTTGCTACATCAGCATAGGAATGTGAGGAATACCCAAGTGGAATTCCACCAAGGTGTCCATTATCGTAGTGATTGGACTTTAGTTTGAGGTACTTATTATCTGGACCTTCAGCACATAGGACAGCTCCATAGGGGGAACAGACGTGCTCAAAGGGCGAAAGCTTAGCAGAACATGAAGACTTGTGCTATAGCAACTATGGCAAAGTGGGCAAGGAGACCAGGCAGAATCAGGACTTAAGTGCTGCAGAGATTCCAATGAATCTCCCACCTCCCTGAAATTCTGGGACGTAAATTTAACTCAACCATATTTTCAGCAACAGAGAAACTTTAGGGGTTCTCAAATGTGTGGGTCGGTGGGTAGATCCAGACCATGAACCAGGTCTTGAATTTCCTGCCACACTTAGCTTGCACTTACCATCATGCCAACAGGGCCACGAACTCCCACAATTCCTTCTTCGCCCTGTTAAAAAGAAGTTATACCGGTATTCCTCCAGAGGTGCCTTTTCCAGCCTTCACTCCTCTCTTTCTCTTTATCTCTGACGCCCCTCTTTCATCCCCCATCGCTCCCTCCTTCTTCTCTCCCCCCCCACCTGCCATCACCTGAACCCTCCTTGTTCCACTGCTTCATCTGTTATGGCCGTCCCCTGGCTCTCTCCCTCTGGGCTGCCCCCACCTGAAATTAGACTAAGGCCCACAGGTGGTCCATCCTTCCTCCAGGGCAACGCCACGCCTGTCCTTACTCTCTGCAATGAGCTTCCTTCCAGGCTAGAACTGAAACCACACAATGCAAACCTCCTCCGACCAGGGCAGACCAAACAAGGTACCCAAAATCCACATTCCAGTCCTGCAATTTCCACACACCTGTCACTTTGCCCCTTAGGTGCATTGATCCAGCCATAAAGTCTGCCTTAGAATACATCTGGGCGCACCTGTCTTTCCCCATTAGCCTTTACTGTGCCATTTACAAGCTAAGTGTCAAGAGAGGGCCAGATGTTTGCTTGTACGTTTCAAATACTTGCACCTGGCTTTGTGTCGACTGCTTAGCAGCTAAGCCTCTGAGCAAAGACTTGGGTGGGACACGGGGGGGGGGGCTTAGTTCTTCATGCATATTTCAATGAAGTTCAGGGCTAAATTATGAGGAACGTTTGAGGGAGTTGGGTTATGTTTAGCCTGGACAAGAGAACACTGAGACTTGCTATGCTAGCCATCTTCAAACATAACATCTGAAGGGTTGTCACTGTTAGAATTCCTGCTCCATGATTGCGGTCATGGGATTTTTGTCTTTCACATGATGGTGTATGTTTTGACTCCACAGAGTGGGAAGTGACGGAGACAGGATGTTTGTGTTACTGTGTTCCTTGAAGTGGGACTATTGTCCTTTGTTCTTTTTCTCTTTGCTGTCTGATGTTAGAGAGAGAGGGAGCCATGTTGCAGTGCTCCGTGTGTGTTTATATGTGAAGAAGAAGAAGAAGAAGAAGAAGAAGAAGAAGAAGAAGAAGAAGAGGAGGAGGAGGAGTAGTTTGGATTTGATATCCCGCCTTTCACTCCCCTTCAGGAGTCTCAAAGCGGCTAACATTCTCCTTTCCCTTCCTCCCCCACAACAAACACTCTGTGAGGTGAGTGGGGCTGAGAGACTTCAAAGAAGTGTGACTGGCCCAAGGTCACCCAGCAGCTGCATGTGGAGGAGCAGAGACACGAACCCGGTTCCCCAGATTATGAGACTACCGCTCTTAACCACTACACCACACTGGCTCTCAATAAAGTAGATTAGCCAAAATGCTGAGTTGCTGAGGTCTGTTACGCAACTGCACAAACTCTGCGGATCCTGCCAGTGTTGGCTGGCATCGGTCGCTGTGATGTTCGGGCTAAAGAAAGCTTATGAAGCTCCCAAACGATTGACCAGGAGGGAGAGAACATGCCAGTCGGGCATGTGTCTCTGCCAGGGTCCTACTTGAGAGTAGGCTGAACTTCTGACAGTCACATGGAAGATGGAGCAAGCCTGATTTCTGCTGCTCCAGAGGGGAGGACGCGAACCGATGGGTTCAAAATTACGAGAAAGGAGATTCCGACTAAACATGAGGAAGAACTTTCTGGAAACGTGCAGTGTGTACCTCTGTGGGCAGAACCACAGCATACATTTAAATCACACCTGATGCCCGTTTAAAGCAAATTAATTCTCCCAAAGAATCCTGGGATTAAGGGTGCTTGGAGTGCTGGCTCTATGAGCAAGAAACTACAATTCCCATCCTGCGGTTTAAACTGGGTGTGCTTTAAATATATTCTATAATAAGTGGCCCCAATCTGGTGGAACGCTCTGTCACAAGAGACCAGGGCCCTGCAGGACTTGACATCTTTCCGCAGGGCCTGCAAGACAGAGCTGTTCCACCAGGCCTTTGGCCAAGGCACAGCCTGACCTCCTCCTTCGGTAATCCTCATAGCACTCTAGCCCAATAGTTGCCATTAATTTGATTTTGAATTGATTTTACAATGAATTGATTTTAGAATGCTGTGTTACTTTTATTGTTGTTAGCCGCTCTGAGCCCGTCTTTGGCTGGGGAGGGCGGGATATAAATAAAAATTTATTATTATTATTATTATTATTATTATTATTAGCGCTGTTTGACAGCGGAACAGACTCCCTCAGAAGGTGGTGGATTCTTCACCATTGGAGGTTTTTAAACTGAGTTTGGATGGCCATCTGTCAGGGGTTATTTTGCTGTGATTCCTGCATTGCCGAGTGGGGTGTGTATGTGTCATTCTATTGCAGTTTAATTACCTTTTGTCTTTTATCTTGCATATTTTTAACAATCTGTGTTTTACACATGTTTGTTTTAATTTTTCTGAGCTGCATTGAGTCCTGGTTCTGGGGAAAATAATAATGATGATGATGATGATAACTATATTCAAAGCGGGGAAACGGGTGGCATTGTGGTCTAAACCACTGAGCCTCTTGGGCTTGCTGATCATAAAGTCGGCGGTTCGAATCCCCACGACGGGGTGAGCTCCCGTTGCTCGGTCCCTTCTCCTGCCAACCTAGCAGTTCAAAAGCACATCAACAAGTGCAAGTAGATAAATAGGTACCGCTCCGGCGGGAAGGGGACGTGGGTGGCACCGAGGGTTAAACCACAGAGCCTAGGACTTGCCGATCAGAAGGTCAGCAGTTTGAATCCCCGTAACGGGGTGAGCTCCCGTTGCTTGGTCCCTGCTCCTGCCAACCTCGCAGTTTGAAAGCACGCAAAGTGCAAGTAGATAAATAGGTACCGCTCCAGCGGGAAGGTAAACGGCGTTTCCGTGCACTGCTCTGGTTCGCCAGAATGACCCGGAAGCTGTACCCTGGCTCCCTCGGCCTGTAAAGCGAGATGAGTGCCGCAACCCCAGAGTTGTCTGCGACTAGACTTAACTGTCAGGGGTCCTTTACCTTTACCTTTATAGTGGTACCTCGCAAGACGAATGCCTCGCAAGACAAAAAACTCGCTAGACGAAAGGGTTTTTTGTTTTTTGAGCTGCTTCGCAAGACGATTTTCCCTATGGGCTTGCTTCGCAAGACGGAAACGTCTTGCAAGTTTGTTTCCTTTTTCTTAACACCGTTAACACAGTTGCGACTTGACTTCGAGGAGCAACTCATAGAACGCGGTGTGGTAGCCTTTTTTGAGGTTTTTAAAGACTTTGGTGATTTTTGAAGCTTTTCCAAAGCTTTCCCGACACCGTGCTTCGCAAGACGAAAAAAATCGCAAGACGACAAAACTTGCGGAACGAATTAATTTCGTCTTGCGAGGCAGCACTGTATAATCAAAGCAGAAGCTTCTGTGAAAAGGGGGGCCACTAGGTGGCGCATCGGAAGATGGCTGACAATAACATCTCTCCGACCCACACGAGGTAATTTGGAGGCTATGATGGGGGTAATTAGCCTCCTTAACCCCACCAGGATTGTGGTGGGGACGGCCCTTGCCTGCTGTGCCCTAAACCACCCCCGAATTTGTGGGGGTGGGGGCACTAGGCACAAAGCCCTCCTGTGGGATTTTCGGCACTCCTTGACGCCATCCCTGATTCGCGCCGCTGGTTGCAATGATCTTTAAAAGAAACAATTTGGACGAGATTAATTGCACATACATCAAGGAAAAAGGGGAGTAAAGACTGCTGACAGAAGAGATCTCTGATAACAAGACAAGAATAAAATATGAGAAGATACGTCAAGATACGGTATGACAAATGACTTAGGGGGGAGGGGAAAAAAACTGCCTTTCCTTTTTCTATGTGATTTAACAAGAATCCCCTCCCCTAATGAGTCAGAAATTAAGGACTTAAGCTGTGGATTTAAGGCTGTGTGGAGATAAACTTTCGATCCAAAGCAATGTTTCAAGATGAAGCTGGAAAGCTAAGAGTTTTGGAGTGACGCAGTCAAAAAAAATGCCGTCGCCATTTTGGGAGGCATTGTTGGAGCTCTTGGGTCTGGGAGGAGAAAGAGAGAAATAGAGTTGTTTACATATCGTGAATCAACTCTCGGTGGGACTTAAGAGCGACAAATGCCAAAATTTTACGATGGAAAGAGTGATGTTATCTACGAAGGAGATATATGGAAACCATCTGGACTTAGTGGAGGAACGGGAAATCCACACAGGAATATTATACTTGTTATCGGCTTAAGGAGACTAACAGAAGAGATCGTAAAGGAAAAAGAGAAATTATATGAACAAGATATGATGTGGCAACACGAAGATAAGACTGGATAGAATTATGAACTTTGTTTGGACTGATTGGGACTGATTTGGACATTAACGCAGTAATAAGAAGATGATCTGAATCCCCCTTTGGATCTTGAAGTATGGGTTCCCCCAACAAAATTTAAAAATTTGGCTTTGTAATTTGGAATTTATATGATGTGATTTAATTTGATGTGATTGGCCAGTTAATAAAAAATTATTTAAAAACAAAACAAAACAGAAGCTTCTGTGAAAAGAACCACTAGTGATGGAACCACTAGGCGATCCTACCTGAGGCCCAGGGAGCCCCCGTGGTCCCCTTGGACCCAGTCTGCCAAGGCCGGCCTCACCCTGGAAAGCAAACAGAAACCAGGGGGCTGCAATAAAAACAAGAACGAAAACAAAGCAGTAGCTCCCCAGCCCCCAGCTGTATGGATATCCTGGGCTGAGGGATGACTTACCTTGCTGCCCTTGATCCCAGGGACACCAGGCATCCCCTAAGAAGCAAAAAAAAGTGGGGGAGAAATAGATGAAGAAACCTTTTTCCTTATCAAGACAAGGAACTCTGTTGTTCGTATTTGTAATGCAGTGCAGTGGGGTTTAACTAGACATCCAAATACACAGAGAGTTTATTTGTTTATTTCCTACATTTATTTTCCACCTTTCCCTCCAAGGAGCTCAAGGCAGAATACATAGTTCTTCAATAATAATAATAATAATAATAATAATAATAATAATAATAATATATTTATACCCCGCCCACTCTGGGCAGCTTCCAACAAAATATTAAAATTGGTTTTGGAAAACTGTTACAGTGGTGCCTCGCAAGACGAAAAACTCGCTAGACGAAAGGGTTTTCCGTTTTTTGAGTCGTTCCGCAAGACGAATTTCCCTATGGGCTTGCTTTGCAAGACGAAACGTCTTCCGAGTTCTTGCGAGTTTGTTTCCTTTTTCGTACAGCCGCTAAGCCGTTAAGCCGTTAATATCCGCTAAGCCGCTAAGCCGCTAAGCCGCTAATAGCCATGCTTTGCAAGACGAAAAAACCGCAAGACGAAGAGACTTGCGGAACGGATTAATTTCATCTTGCGAGGCACCACTGTACAATGATATACACTGAAATTCAGCCAGGGGGATTTGAGGAAGTCACTTAACAATGTTACTAAGATTGGATTAAGTACAATTAAGGGGTTTGTTGTTTGTTTGTTTAAAAATTTTGGAAAATCAATAAAAAAATAGGAAAAAAATATATTAAAATACAATCGTCTATTAAACATTAAAAGCTTCCCTAAACAGGGCTGCCTTTAGATATCTTCTAAAAGTCTGGTAGTTGTTTCTCTCTTTGACATCTGACAGGAGGGCGTTACACAGGGCAGGTGCCACCACCGAGAAGGCCCTCTGCCTGGTTCCCTGTAAATTGGCTTCTTGCAGGGAGGGAACCATCAGAAGGCCCTCAGCACTGGACCTCAGTGTCCAGGCAGAACGATGGGGGTGGAGACACTCCTTCAGGTATACCGGACAACAACCTATGAACGCTCTGCGAGTGATCAGGCTTAGAGTCATGGGCTGAATTCTCCCCAGTTGCACCACGAAGGACTAAGAGTTCCTCTGAGAGACCATCTGGACACAAAGGTCTTCTTCTGCATCAAGACAATTGGCCCATCAGTATCAGAATGAGTAACATGTGGCCTTCAGGATGTTGCTAGACTCCAACTCCCATCAGCCACGGTCACTATGGCCAGCAACCAGAGATGATGGGAGTTGTAGTCCACATCTGGAGGGCCACAGGGTCCCCATCGCTGGTCTTCATCCGGTGGCAGCAGATCTCCAGGGTTCAGAGGGGACATTCCCAGCCCTACTGAGAGATGCCAGCGATTGACCCTGGCAACTTCTGAGGGAAAGCAAGTGCCCTGAGCTATGGACCTTGAGTCTTCCACCAGACTTTAGGGTGGGGTGCAGGTGGTTCCCCCCTCCCAGGACACCAAGCTGGGGGGCGGGGGCACAAAATTGAGAAGATCCATAATTGAGAAGATCCATTAGGAGGCTCTAAATTTCGGCCTTGCTCAGGGCAACATATTATCAAAGATGACCAAAGGCCACCCCTGGTTCCACTCTCATTTCCTAGGTAAAGGTGAGACTTTTTTGAGCACCTCTTGTCCTGGGTGTCCGGGGGGTCCTATTGGTCCAGCAAACCCATTCCTTCCTCTCTTGCCGTGTTCCCCCTAAAGAGAAAGACATTTTTAGAGAAAATGACTATTGCAGAACAAAAAGAAAAATACCCAAATGGCTACCAAGATGTGGGGACCAACACTAGAATGGGCAGGGTGCCTCTCCTAAAACCAGGAGGTGTTATATATCAGAGAAGGAGGATTAATACTCCAATGCAGAGACTACCCACAGGGCACCCATGGGTGCAATGGCACCCTTGAGGTCTTCCCCTGGCCCCACAAGGCTTCTGTCCCCTTAGTCACAACCGGGAGGGTGTTTATCTTTTTTCTCGCTCGAAAAACGCATAGAGATTGTTTTAAAAATTCTAAGGTCTCAAATATAAATTAAATGTTCATTTCCCCCCCCTTTTTTTACCAACAACCAAAACACAAACAGTGAAAACAAACCCCCAGGTGGCTGATACATTGGGTATACATAATCAATAATAACATATTCAAATCAACCATATGTACAATTCTATATACCTTAACACTCCTCCCTCCATAAGGTTTATTAAACTTTTAACATTTTAATTGCCCCAAATTGTTCAAACCTGCCCAAATAATTCAATATTTTCTCAAACCAATCCTCCTCCTCCTCCTTGACCTTAAACCCTTTCATTTTATGTATCTTCACAGTTAGATATTCTAAGATTATAATATTTTTCAATTTTTCTCTCCATTGGTTCACCCCGAGCTCTTTTGCATTTTCCCAATTACTCGCTATAACCTGTCTGGCTGCAATTACCACCAATTTTACCCATTTACATTCCTCTTTTGTTTCTAACTCAGTGCTACTCAGGCTAATAAGAACCATTAATTTAGATATTTCCACCTTCCTACCAACAATTCCCGATATTTCTATACCAGTTTCCAGAATTCATTAACTAACAGACAATCCCACCACATATGACTGTACGTTCCCATCACTCCACATTTCCTACTTCCACATTTTGTAATATGATATAACCTTACAGGTGTGTAATACCATTTTTGTACCAACTTCAACCCTTGTCCCTGGATTATCCAAGAGGTCACAACAAATTAAATGTTCATAAATGCACAAGGCAAACACATGTTGTTGGTTTAGTCGTTTAGTCGTGTCCGACTCTTCGTGACCCCATGGACCAGAGCACGCCAGGCACTCACATACATAAGTATAAAAACCACGTGTCTGAAATAGTAAGCAAAGCAATTCTGAAGTCATTTTGACTCTCCCAGTGACCTCAAATATTCCTCTGCAGCAAGGGAGGAAAATAGTGGAGAGCCTCCCCATTGTCTTTTGCTTACAAATCCTGTCTTAAGGGCGTATTTGTGTTTGAATAGGGTGAGCCTGTGACCTGGAGTCAGGAACTAAAAGTATTAACCCCCATTAACCCCCCAGGTAAAGCAATCAGTGACCATTATCAGGTATCCTGACAAACAGGATTTCTGCTGTAGACCGCCTCCTCTGCTGTAGACCAGCTCGTAATGGTTTCCTTATATACGGCACTACACGTAATGGTTCAATTAGGCACAAAAGCATATCAGTTACATTTCACATACTTCCATCTCATTCTGCAAAACGCAGTCCAGATGCAATCACTGAGCCTGCAGCCGCATGGACCAAGAAACCGCAGTCGCATGGAGCAAAACGGCTCTCTGAGTGTCAGGGAACAGAAGCAGCAAAGGAACAAAGCAACCTCGGCAGCAAAGCTCTAAAACGATTATCCTGCCTGTGTCACCGTGAAACAGCCCATTAGGTGTCTACTCATACAAGTGATGTCCTCCGAGCACTTTGGACACCCAGTCCAGGTCACAGTGACACAAGGATTTGCAAGAGGGATTGCAGATGTCTGAGCTCCCTGCTTTTTAAAGGGGAAAGTCTGGACGGGGGAGCGGTGGAAATGACAGGGGCTAGGAAGGTAATCATGGCCACTGAATCATCCATGGCTAGGAAGGTAATCATGGCCACTGGTCCCATCACCTCCTGGCAAATAGAAGAGGAAGAAATGGAGGCAGTGAGAGATTTTACTTTATTGGGCTCCATGATCACTGCAGATGGTGACAGCAGCCACGAAATTAAAAGACGTCTGCTTCTTGGGAGAAGGGCAATGACAGGCCTAGACAGCATCTTGAGAAGTAGAGACGTCACCTTACCAACAAAGGTCCGTATAGTTAAAGCCATGGTTTTCCCAGTAGTGATGTATGGAAGTGAGAGCTGGACCATAAAGAAGGCTGGTCGCCGAAGAATTGATGCTTTTGAATTAGGGTGCTGGAGAAGACTCTTGAGAGTCCCATGGACTGCAAGAAGATCAAACGCATCCATTCTTAAGGAAATCAGCCCTGAGTGCTCACTGGAAGGACATATCCTGAAGCTGAGGCTCCAGTACTTTGGCTACCTCATGAGAAGAGAAGACTCCCTGGAGAAGACCCTGGTGTTGGGAAAGATGGAGGGCACAAGGAGAAGGGGGCGACAGAGGACGAGATGGTTGGATAGTGTTTTCGAGGTTACCAGCATGAGTTTGACCAAACTGCGGGAGGCAGTGGAGGACAGGAGTGCCTGGCGTGCTCTGGTCCATGGGGTCACGAAGAGTCGGACACGACTAAACGACTAAACAACAACAACAACAACAACAGGAAGGTAATAGCAGCGTTTTGGTGAATCCCAGAGCGGTGACTTTGGTGTGACTCAGTCCTAGGCACCGAGGACATAAGGACTTTCTCCCCCACCCAGAAGTGAGCACCAAAACCTAGCCTTTGCAGAAAACCTGACAACAAGTCTTAGAGCACTTTAGAAACCAATGCATATACCGTATTTTTAGCTTCATAAGACGCACCTGACTGTAAGATGCGCCTAGTTTTTAGAGGAGGAAAACAAGAAAAAAATTATTCTGAATGAAACAGTGGATGTATGATTTTTGTGGTTCATGCTGTGGCTACAGACATGATATGTGATTTTACGCTGAGTTTGGGGTAGCCCAGTGCAAAAATCCTGAGAATCCATGTGGATCCGTGCTTTGTAACCACGTTTTTGCGCCATTGCAGCCCCACGAAACAGCGGATGTGTGGGTTTTTTGGTGCAGGCTGTAGCCATGGACATGCTATGTGATCTGATGGTGAATTTGGGGTGACCCAATGCAAAAATCCTGAGGATCCATGAGCTTTTACCTCCCCCCTCCCAGGCAGACACACACACACACACACACACACACACACAGTGGTACCTCGGGTTACATACACTTCAGGTTACATACGCTTCAGGTTACAGACTCCGCTAACCCAGAAATAGTGCTTCAGGTTAAGAACTTTGCTTCAGGATAAGATCAGAAATTGTGCTCTGGCGGTGTGGCAGCAGCAGGAGGCCCCATTAGCTAAAGTGGTGCTTCAGGTTAAGAACAGTTTCAGGTTAAGTACAGACCTCCGGAACGAATTAAGTACTTAACCCGAGGTACCACTGTATATTTAACTGTTGCTATATCTGTATCAGGGATGCAGGTGGTGCTGTGGGTTAAACCACAGAGCCTAGGGCTTGCCGATCGGAAGGTCAGCGGTTCAAATCCCCGCGACGGGGTGAGCTCCCATTGTTTGGTCCCTGCTCCTGCCAACCTAGCAGTTCAAAAGCACGTCAAAGTGCAAGTAGATAAACAGGTACCTGTTACACCTAATTGCAAATTCAAATGCATCTGCAGCAGCACAGCCGGACACCTTCCTCTGCCCCAGCTGCAACAAAACATATCTCTCCTGTATAGGTCTCTACAGTCACAGCAGGCGCTGTGATTCTCCAATGGTTTGGCTTCACCCTCAAAGCTGTTCTCCTCCATTGTCTCTTGAGACAGACGGGTGCCAACAACAACAGTATGTGTTGGAGTCCGGCCATTCCCAAATATTTTTGGGCCGCCACCCGCTTGGTTCCATAAACTCATCCCTAGTGCCCCCTAACTTAACTTATAAAAAGCATTACTCAGAATGGTGGTTTGTATAATCCACTGAATGAGTGTAACACGTCGAAATCTGAAGCAGTAACAATTAAGTTAAAGGTAAAGGGACCCCTGACCCTTAGGTCCAGTCGTGACCGACTCTGGAGTTGCAGTGCTCATCTCGCTTTATTGGCCGAGGGAGCCAGCGTACAGCTTCCGGGTCATGTGGAAACCAGAGCAGTGCATGGAAACGCCATTTACCTTCCCGCTGGAGTGGTACCTATTTATCTACTTGAACTTTGACATGCTTTCGAACTGCTAGGTTGGCAGGAGCAGGGACCGAGCAACAGGAGCTCACTCCGTCGCGGGGATTCGAACCGCTGACCTTCTGATCGGCAAGCCCTAGGCTCTGTGGTTTAACCCACAACGCCACCAGCGTCCCTGTAACAATTAGTAATAACAATTGTTACTACTGTAACAATTGTTACCCTGTAACAATTGTTACCCTGCAGTAACAATTAGCCGCACATTTATTTGAAACCCACTTGAAACTACTTCAACAAAATGGACGACCGTGACACCAGCTTTTCGAAGCCTGATTGCCATGCGCACCTCCAACATCCCCTGGCACCCCCTTGCCTCTTAGCACGCCCCCCCCAGTAATCTCATTGACCCCCCAGGGGGTGCTACCACCCACTTCAGGAACCACTGTGTTAGACTGAGGAGTAGCCTTATCATGGGGCAGCTGAAATCACAGAATTGTGGAGTTAGAAGGGACCTTGAGGACCATCTAGTCCAACCCCCTACAAAGCAGGAATAGGCAGCTGTCCCATACGGGGATCGAACCTGAAACCGTGGCGTTATCAGCACCACGCTCTAACCTACTGAGCTCTCGCCCTAGAACCAGAAGCAGAGGCATGTCTGGAAAACCTGGCTTCCAATTTCAGCTCCCTAGAAATCTAATAAATACGGTAATCTTCATGTTGAACAAATAATAATGGCTCTATAAAGCTTGTCATGCTGCGAAGTTAAGTACGCTGACCCAGAAACTGCCGGTTGCACAAGCTGGGCCTCTGCTCTGCCCAACAGGGCTCTCCCGATGTTCTCAGGAGCAGCCAAGGCTTGATTTATACGGCAATTCTGATGGAGAGGATATTAAATGGCAGAGCGTCATGGCGCTTAGTTTTTGATTGTTCACCTCAAGAGTTCCAGTGGGTCCCTTTCAAGCATCTTATGAAGTAGCTTTGAAAAGCTCGGAGGTGCTTCCGTAATCCACCTCCGCTCCCTGCATTTGACTCAGTTCCCCGAATCACTTGGCCACTGGGCTGTCGCCACACCCAGCTGTTGTTCACCTACCTTTTGCCCTGGAATTCCAGGTGGGCCTGGGGCACCTCTCTCCCCCTGCGACCCGGGGGTCCCGGGGTTGCCACGGATACCCTGGATACCTTGTGCCCCTGGAGGTCCCGGGACTCCGGGTTCACCCTAGCGAGAAGATACCATATTGTCCCATCACAAGATGAGCACATGTTTGTTATAGTATGATCGTGATTAATTATCAGTTGCTTCGTACAACAACAACAACAATATAATTTGTTATTTGTACCCTGCCCATCTGGTTGGGTTTCCCCAGCCACTCTGGGCGGATTCCAACAAAGATTAAAAATACATTAAAATGTCACACGTTAAAAACCTCCCTGAACAGGGCTGCCTTCAGATGTCTTCTAGAAGTCTGGTAGTTGTTGTTCTCTTTGACATCTGAAGGGAGGGTGTTCCACAGGGCGGGTGCCACCACCGAGAAGGCCCTCTGCCTGGTTCCCTGTAACTTGGCTTCTCGCAGTGAGGGAACCGCCAGAAGGCCCTCGGAGCTGGACCTCAGTGTCTGGGCAGAACGATGGGGGTGGAGATGCTCCTTCAGGTATACTGGGCCGAGGCTGTTTAGGGCTTTAAAGCTCAACACCAACACTTTGAATTGTGCTCGGAAACGTACTGGAAACGTATCGGAAACGATAAGCCTCAAAGCAACTTGGCAGGGGGAAATACAAGAAGTAAATAGCAATTTGGACCTAGAATCATAGAATTGTAGATTTGGAATGGATCATCAATGCAAGAATAGGCAGTTGTCCGATAGAACTTGCCACCTTGGCATTATCACAGCACCACACTCTAAGCAACTGAGCTAACCTAGATATTTCTTTTATAGCAGTGGGCATTGCAAAGCACCTAGCATGTTCGCCCAACAAGGGCAAGTCCTACACACCCCTCCTAGAAGATGTCAGGGACTGGCTGGGTGAAGAGGAGTGGTGGAAGGTATGAGCCAGGGAACCCTCAAGGGAAACCCCAGAGGAGGAAGGCTCAGAGCCCAGGGATTGGTGGTGGGACACAGAGGAGGCGAGGTCAGAGGGAGAAGATTGGGAGGAGGTGGCATTGGAAGCTGAAGGGGCAACAGGGTTTACTGAGCAGGAAGAGCCTGTGACAGAGAGCAGTTCAGACTCTGAGGCTGAAGCAGTGCAGAGGGGGTCACAAGGCTGCTGGAGAATTCAAAGAGTCTGTAAGAAGCTCCTTCCTGGTCTCCAAGAACATGCAGAGTAATGAGAAGAGCTGAACGGAGGTCAGAGGTCCACAGATGCAGTTTGAGACTGCTTGGGAAACATCCAGGAGAGGTGGAGCCTTAGAAGGGGCGGAAGGCAGGGACCTTCAGTCCTAGCGACTGCCCTACAGGGGGAAGACCCACCGAAAGCGTTGTTTGCTGTTTCCTTGACAAAGAGTTAACTTCGCTGACAGCTGACTCTGCTTCTTCGTGCTGACGTGCATCTGACTCCAGCCTTGACAGATGACCACCATAGGAAGCAACATTAATGAACCAATGGCCTAGGTGAACAAAAAGGCCTTAGCCTGGCACCTAAGGATGGCCCCAGACGGGTCTCCCCAAGGAGAGCATTCCACCGTGGGGCCACCACCGAAAAGGCTTGTTCTCATGGGGTCAACCTTCACTCCTTCCTCAGGGAAGGTCTTCTGATGAAGACCGCAGGGTTAGAGCTGGCTTGTAAGGGGAGAGGTGGCCCTTTGGGTTTTGTGGTCCTCCTGATACATTTCCAACTCTTTGTAGCCTTCAGCTCCCTCAACTGGAAGGGGGGCCAGTTCCACTTTCCACCCTGATGGTCTACTTCAGGCTAGTCTGTTTCTCCTCCATAAAGAGTGGGGAACCTGTAGCTCTCTGGACGTTGGATTATAGCTCCCTTTGTCCCTGACCGTGGGCTATGCTGCCTGAGGATGCTGGGAATAAGAGTCTAGCAGCACCTAGAAGGTTAAACATTCCCCACTCCTGTCCTCTGTAACGGACGAGTTGGCTGTACAAATAAATGAAGTCTCAATATGGAGATGGAGCAGGAAAGTTGCCGAACTTACCTTGTGCCCAGGAGGTCCAGCCTGACCAAGAGGTCCCCGGAAGCCAATTCCCGGCTCTCCCTTTAGAAAACAGAGCAAATAAGAGAGAAGTGAATCCCGACCACACAGCATAATACACAGGTTCACATGATGCCAACAATCTGTGACTCAAATTGCAAGCAACTCTGCAAATGGAAGATGAGTTGCTTGTTCTGGGTGGCCCCTGATCCCAGCAAAGCCAATCCTTTACCTTTTGACCCATTTCTCCTTCTTCGCCTCTGGCACCCTGGTAGAGAAAAGAGCAAAAGGTAAGTTTCTAGTCCTCTTGATGCCATGAAACACCCTGGATATGTTTGGGCTATAACTGATCATAGAATCATAGAGTTGGAATAGACCACAAGGGCCATCGAGTCCAACCCCCTGCCAAGCAGGAAACACCATCAGGGCACTCCTGACATATGGTTGTCAAGCCTCTGCTTAAAGACCTCCAAAGACGGAGACTCCACCACACTCCTTGGCAGCAAATTCCACTGTCGAACAGCTCTCACTGTCAGGAAGTTCTTCCTAATGTTTAGGAAGGAAAGGCTTAGGGGTGGGTGTATTCAAGCTGTAGTGCCTCTGCTCTGATCTAGCAAGGTTTTTCTTGCATCCATATCTGAGTATGTGCTGTGTGCAGCGACAGTTGCCTGCAACTCTATGTAAAGTCTAGTTTTGGACCCTGAAATGGGGTATCCAGTTGCTACTGTGATTGCTGGGCAGAACTAGAAGCGCTGTCAAAGATCTCCCAGCCTGTAAGAATGTCTGGACTCTCCTTCCTTTGAAGCAGAGGTTAGATGGCCATCTATCATGGATGCTTTAGCTGAGATTCCTGCATTGCAAGGGGCTATTGGGTTATTGGGATCCTCCGAAACTCCTGAAGGGCAGTTCCTCTTCCAGCAGTGGGAAAAGCCACACCTCCAGTGGAGAAGAGAGGAAAGGGGCCAGCCAAGCGAGGAAAGGGCTGGAGGATGCTGCCGACGCAGGCCACTTCCGTCTCCCAGCTTGCACAGAGGGGTGGAACACAAGGAGAGGAGGAGGAGGCTTGGGGTGCCAAAGTTCTTATGCTGGGGGAGAAACTGGAAGGGGCCACTCCCAGATTCTGCAAGTGGCTAAGATGGACGTGAACTTTGTGTATCTGCACTGCAAATAGTTTGCACAATAAAACCTGTAAAAGACAGGTCGGAGTCCTGCCTGGTTACTCACGAGCAACCACCACACAGCATCTGACATGTACTTTGTCGTTTTTTATTTTGATTTTATTCTGTGAACTGCCCTGAGACCTCCAGATATAGTGTGGTATATAAATTCAATTAATGATGATGATGATGATGATGATGATGATGATGATGAAGCTGACCCTTCAGTCTCTTCCAACTTTATGATTCTATGACCTTTGTTGCTTACCTTCTCCCCTGGCTCCCCTGGCTCTCCCGGTTCCCCCTGTAAGGGAGAGAGAGAGAGAGAGAGAGCGCTCACTGTACCCTCAGGCTCAGATCCTGATGTTTACATGCTTTCCATCGCACAGCAAAGATTTCAGACAGCCCCGTTCCATGTGTTCCCCTTGCACAAATGCAGAGATCAGAGCGTGTCCTTCGACTTTGCTCGTCTTGGCCAAAGCCTCTCCAAGCTGCGCCAGTTCTCCCTGTCCAACAGCGCCAGTTCTCCCTGTCCAACAGCGCAACGGCCCTCCCCATTTCTCCTTCCTTCTCAATGCAAGAGTGAGGAACACATGGCCCCTCAGATGTTGCCAGACCCTTGACTGAAACTCTGGAAAGGTACTGCTAGTCTCAGTGAAGACAACAGTGAGCCACATGGGCCAATAGTTTGAGTCAGTATAATGCAGTCTTGCAAAGCCACTTCTGCCCTGCAGAAGTGGGCGTCACAGCCCAGCCCCCGCCCAATTGGGGGAATCCCCGGCCGCATCACCCCCTGGCCAGCCAATCAGCTGGCTCTGGGGGCATGGCCTGCCCTATTCAATGCAGGCGCGGCCAGGGATCTCCCTCTTTGCCCGCCTGCCAGCTGTTCCCTGCTTTCCCCACTCTCCCGCCCTATAAGGTTTCCGTTCCTTGACCTTGCTATGGACTTCGGTTGGTCGCCGTTGAGGGGCCTAGTAGGAATTTTTCCACTTGGCAAATTGGCACCAGCCACTTGGTTTTCCGCCTACCTCGTAGCAAATCGTCACAACTTTCTGGGTATTGGCGGTTAGGCATTGGTACTGTTTTGTAGATGGAAGAGGGGAGGAAGTGCCATCACCTGCCTGGCATATTGAAGGGTAGCCCGATAAAGGATTCCGGGGGATGTGGCCCTGTCCGAAGCCATGGAGGTGAGGGCCTAAGGCACGCCCCTTATCAGTGGCCCCGGGGGAGTTCCTAGTTGATGTGCATCAGCAGGACTCCCCCTACTGGTGGTTAACCCTTCCTGGACTTCAAGCGGACGGGCTGATGTCGGATATAGCCGGTTAGGGCCAATGCCTAAGCCAATACCACTCTCACCTGTAACCAATAAAGTTGTGGCCTTATTTAGCACATTAACCTTAATAATTGTGTCATGTGTCTTTATTTCCACTGGGGGGGGCAGGAACTCGCCACGCAAGGAGATCCACTAGGAAATGAGGGGTGGGGGTAAGGAATTGAAGGGAGCATTTAGAATCCTGAAATCCAGCTTTCCGTAGTAGTGCAACGTTTTGCCGCAAGCCCCAATTGCCGCACACCCACACATGTGCACAGATGTTGCAGCTCATGGAAAGAAACTGACCTGTTCTCCTTTGCTGCCTTGGCTTCCAGGTGCCCCCTTTTCTCCCTGAAAAAAGAGAATTAAAGAGAAAAAGAAACCTCGTCGTTTCCAAGCACAGTCCAGCTATGTGGAATCTCGCAGGAGCCTCTTGGGACGCTGGCGTGATTGTGGCTGGATCTCTAAGAGCACGGTAGCGGATTTCCTCCTCCTCCTCCATTTGGAAAAGGCAACGTTCCTCCAGGAACCAGAGGACAAAAGTTAATGAAAAAATACCGTATTTTTAGCTCTATAAGATGCACTTTCCCCCTCCTAAAAAGTAAGGGGGAATGTGTGTGCGTCTTATGGAGCGAATGCAGACGGGAGGCTCTGCTCAGCGCTCCCTTTAAAGAGCCGCGTGGAGCATGTGGGCGGTTCTTCGGGGCTTTTCCCTGAGGAGAAGAGCTGCCCTTCTCCCTCCTTGGTAAAAGCCCCCAAGAGCCGCACACACACACTGTGCGCTCTTTAAAGGGAGCGTGGCTCTTGGGGGAGCCTTAGCTGCGAGCAGCCTCTCCCGGGCAGGGGATGAAGGCGCCCCTTGCCCGGGAGAGGGTGCGCGAGGCCAAGCAAGCAGCCAGGACAGCCAGCGGGATCGCAGGGGTCCTGCTGGCTGTCCTGGCTTCTTGTTTAGCCACGCGAAGCCTCCGCAGGGCACGGGGAGCCTTCATCCCCATGCCCCACGGAGGCTTCACGGGGCTATCCAAAAGCCAGAGCAGCTGCACAGTGCTCCCTCTAGCTGTTCGAGTTTCTGGCTTAGCCACGGGGAGCCTCCACACGGCAGCGGGGAGCCTTCATCCCGCTGCCTGCGGAGGCTTCACGTGGCTATCCTTGGCTTTTGCGGGAGATGGGGGAAGGGACAGAGCGGCGCGCTCTGTCCCTTCCCCCACCTCCCAGAAAAGCCTCCCAAGAGCCGCACTCCCTTTAAAGAGTGCATGACTCTTGCGGGAGGTGGGGTTAAAGCCAGGAGGCTTGCTTTCGCTGAAGCCAGGAGGACAAGAGTGCACCGATCCCGCTTGCTCTCCTGGCTTCAGAGATAGCCCCGCAAAGCCTCCTGAGCGAAGATGGAGGAGCGCTCCCTCTTCGCTCAGGATGCTTTGCGTTGCTTTTTTATTTCTTGTTTTCCTCCCCTAAAAACTAGGTGTGTCTTATGGTCCAGTGCGTCTAATAGAGCGAAAAACACGGTATATCAAGGCAGCAGGGCTTTCTTGCTGGTGGTTGTCCCTGGAATCTCACTGACTGCGCACAGGAGGATTTGCAAGCCAACCCACCTTTTGCAGGTGATTTAGGAACATAGGGAGATGCCCTGAAGGAGCCTCTCCGCCCCCTTCGTCCAGCCCGGACACTGAGGTCCAGCGCCGAGGGCCTTCTGGGGGTTCCCTCACTGCGAGGAGCAAAGCTACAGGGAACCAGGCAGAGGGCCTTCTCGGTAGTGGCGCCCGCCCTGTGGAATGCCCTCCCATCAGATGTCAAAGAGATAAACAACTACCTGATTGTTGTTAGCCGCCCTGAGCCCAGCTTCGGCTGGGGAGGGCGGGATATAAATAAAATTGATTATTATTATTATTATTATTATTATTATTATTATTATTATTATTATTACATCTTAAGGCAGCCCTGTTCAGGAAAGTTTTAATGTGTGACATCTTAGTGTATTTCTGGTCTTTGTGGAAGCCGCCCAGAGTGGCTGGGGAAACCCAGCCAGATGGGCGGGGTACAAATAATAAATTATTATTATTATTATTATTATTATTATTATTATTATTATTATTATGCCTTATCCTCCCTCAGACCATTGTTCCATCTAGCTCAGTACAGTGGTACCTCGGGTTACATACGCTTCAGGTCACATACACTCAGGTTACATACGCTAACCCAGAAATAGTGCTTCAGGTTAAGAACTTTGCTTCAGGATGAGAACAGAAATCGTGCTCTGCCGGCGTGGCAGCGGCAGGAGGCCCCATTAGCTAACGTGGTGCTTCAGGTTAAGAACAGTTTCAGGTTAAGAACGGACCTCCGGAACGAATCAAGTACTTAACCCGAGGTACCACTGTACTGGCTACACTGACTGGAAGCTGCTCTCCAGGGTTTCAGAAAGGGGCTCTTCCCAGTCTGACCTGGAGATATCGGGAACCTTCTCCATGCAAGGCTGATTCTCTGCCACTGAGCTATGAACCTCCTGTGACTTCCCTGCCACTGTTCTTATTAGTGACATTATGAGTGTCCCAAGAGACCGTGTGGCCTGGCTGTGCTGTCGAAGGAGGGCCATCTATTAGGAACTATTAATGCTGGCTGTTGGCTCAAAGGTCCCCAAAGGGAAAGCGCTGCATGATTGACAATTGTCTTTGCAGTATAATAACGTCTCGAATCTTGCGATATCTGAGACAGTAACATGCAATTTAAAAGTGAAGACCCTGAATGTTTCTATGTTGGGTTTTTTTTCACGGGTGGAGGTTTTTCTCTTATGCTACTGCAAAGGATCTGCAATAATGTGCAACGTTTGAACCTCATAATCCTGAATGAAATTGTTCTGTTCCATTGTTCAGCTGCATGCTTTGATGTATACCTTGGGATGCAATGGCCTTTTAGTAATTCTAGATTTTTATTTTTATCATTCATTCATTCATTTATTATGCTTTATTAACCGTAGTTACATCCATACATCTAAGACATTTTGTAGTCTGTAGCTCAAACCCATCAAAATAAAAATTCCAACAAAGAAGTATATATCGTCATAAATTTAACTTCCTGTCCTTCTCAACATCTTTTCACTCTAATAAACCTGTTACCTAAACTTATCAGCAAAATCATGATAAAATATTAATATGCATCTATGTATATATATCTATTTAACCCATTTAACCTTTATTTGCAGAGCTTATTCAAAAACTGCTACCAAACTCAGATTGCAACGCTTATTTTTTTAAGTTACTCTTTAGAGGTTCCCAGTTAACTGGATAACTGGCCTTTTAGTTATTCAATAAAATGAGTATATATTTTTAAGAAAGGAGAGCAGAAAAGAGGAACTGCCTGGACCTGCTCCAGGCTGTAAAACAACAACAACAAAACCCTAAAGATGTAAATCAAATTTTGGACAGATTTCTGGGGATGTCAGAAATATACTCAGAGTCGAGTGTGGATTTCATGCTCTTTATTCAGCCCATAGTAGTGAGGAATGGAAGTTTCCCCAAAATGTCTGCTTTATATACATTATTTACACAATGGGCCCCACGTGATTGGCTAATTCTGGGATTCTCCTGTAGGCCAATCAGGTTGCGGATTCACTTCCACCTGGAGTTGGATTGGGTGGCTCCTGCGGCCCAATCAGACTGCTGCATTCTGGATCCTATTGTTCTGGGACCAATCAGACTGCTGCATTCTGGACCCTATCGTTCTAGGACCAATCAGACTGCTGCATTCTGAATCCTATTGTTCTAGGACCAATCAGACTGCTGCATTCTGGACCCTATCGTTCTAGGACCAATCAGACTGCTGCATTCTGAATCCTATTGTTCTAGGACCAATCAGACTGCTGCATTCTGAATCCTATTGTTCTAGGACCAATCAGACTGCTGCATTCTGAATCCTATTATTCTAGGACCAATCAGACTGCTGCCTTTTGGATCCTATTCAACTTAGTACATAACATGTGTAGAGCTTGGAGAAGCAATTCACCCTCTCTCCTTTGCATCAGCCTAGGTCGCATCAGAGGTTCGCTACCACAACCACACAGCTTTTTATGTTTTGGCATCTATTGACAAAAAAAATAATTAAAAACAAAAATTGCAAACCTTTTGACCTTGAACCGGCAGGGAATCAGGACCCACCATGTCTGACCTTTGCTTCTAAAGACAGAAAACCTTGTTAATTTTATATCTTTGGATTTTTTTACATTTCATCTTAAAATGCTTTTCTTCCCCTGAGCCGTTGAGACAGTTTCAGGCCTCCCTCATAATACTAGAGGCCAAGGGGGCCACCCAACCGTGGGATGTGATCCATGAGAGGCAGTCAAATACAACATTCCTTGTTTTCCTAGAGTGGACGTGCAAGGGGAAGTTTGGTCCAGCCAGTCAAAACTTCCTGTTCCTCCTGGGCTGGAGCACCCTCCCTTTTGCATGTGATAGAAGGTGGGCATGACCTCACCTCTCCAGGTAACAAAAGGACGAGTCACGCAACACACCTCTCTCTTTTTGACTTCCTTCTTCGTTTGATCAGCTTTCAGCTAGGACTGCTCTGCTAGCTCTCAGCTGGCAGAAGCACTGGGATAATTCCCCCATATGGGATAGATCCACATGTACATATTTGTAACTAAGTTTGCCTTCAGGATCCAACTGTGAACTGATGTAAGTAAACTTCTTTTATTGACTTTCAATAAGATTGTGGCGTCTTTATTCTTTTAAGAGGGATTCAAGGGAACTTACCAGGAACGTACAATTCAGTCTGAGACAGATTGAATTGTATAATAGTGAGAGGCTCACACGAGCCTGCAACCAGCTATCTGATGTGCATATAAAAAGGGGGGATGTAACTCTGCTACATAAAGGAACTTGCCAGCGCAAGTTAGGAAGGGTATTAATAAACAATATATCCTCTCCTGCCACCCTGAACATTCATTCCCACACCAACAAAGCTGAATGCTACAAACAGGGGCATTTGGCCCAGTTTATACTTATTATTATTATTATTATTATTATTATTAAAGATTTTCTTGTTTTACAGAAGTATGTGTAATGTCTCATATTTTTTCCATGTAACACTTTTACAAATCAGTTTCATAAAATGCTGGAGAGGGTGCACCTCCACAGGCACATACCTCCACATGTGGTGGGAGTGCTCCAAAATCCAACTATTTGGCCCAGTTTATATACCTTAAGCCGGCCCAGGCAAAACACACACACTGTCTACAATAGGTCGCCTTAATGCTGCAATTAGCGAATCACAACACTGGCCCTATCTCAGTAGGGATTGGCAGCCTGCCAGCTACTAACAATGTCATTGGAAGGCCATAATAGCCTGTATAGTGTAAGCAACCAACAAGCTAATATACTCAAACTTCAGTAGCCTTTCCATTATTTCAAAAAATTATACACTGAATGATTGTAAAAGGCCTCAAAGCAGTATCTGTGTACATGGACACCATACATGTGACATGAGTACTGCCCAGAATATAAACAAAAAATATTATATTTTATTTCTTCACTGATTTTACTCACAGGACTTGCATATGTGTTATGTGTGTAATTTATAACAGTTACATAAGAACTGGCAAAAGAGCTTCTTCTGTAATGGTGAAATAAAAAATTTCCACATTGAGAAAATACAACAACAACCCAAAGCTGAATGCTGGAAGATTCAGAGCAGACAGAAGAAAGTCCTTCACACAGTGCAGGCATGTCCAACAGGTAGATCGTGATCTACCGGTAGATCACTGGACGTCTGTTGTAGATCACTTGTAGATCAGTGGCTCCCCCCAAAGAAGCTAAACTCTCCCCTAAAAAAAGCTCAACAACTTTGACCTGAACCCAACAAAATGGGGTAGATCACTGCCAGCTTTTAACTCTGTGAGTAGATCGCAGTCTCTTGGGAGTTGGCCACCCATGATAGAGCATAGCTAACCTATTGAATTCACTCCCCAAGTGATGGCCACCAACTTGGGATGGCTTTAAATGAGTATCAAACAAATTCATGGAGGACTGATTGTCTCTCGGACATACCCTATACCAGGAATCAGGAATGTCCCATCCCATTTCGCCGCCTGAGGCAAAAAGGGAAGCTGCCTTGGCCCTTGCCAAAGCCTCGCTTACTGCTCCATGCTTCTTCTGGGGCAGCAGGCAGGGGCAGGCTGGGCACAGGCTGGGGTGCCACCCACCAGGGACTCTGCCACCCGAGGTGGCTGCAAGGGAAAATCACAGTAAGGAATTGAAGTCTACAGGCTAGGAATTGTGTTGTAAAGGACAGTTGCCAATTTCTCTTGCTCGTAGAGTACCAGGGACTTATATCTTCGATAATTTAGAAGATGAGAGAAAAATCACATTGCAACAGGGAAGGATTGGATGAAGTAATGTCTAAAAGGCATATAAGGCCTATGAAGATCTGTCTGTTGTCCTTCTAAAACAGCAGTTTAACAGTGTGACTATTCTACGACAGATTACACACACAACATTGGTCACACACACACACACACACACACACACGAGCTGCAAAAACAAAAATGCAAAATAAATAGCAAAAACAGACAGAACTCAGCGTAACACTCAAAAACGGAAGCGTGGCACTCAAATCGGAAGTGCAATGCTCAAAACGGAGCACATTTGGCTTCTGAAAAGAGTTCGCAAACCAGAAAGCTTACTTCCGGGTTTGCAGAGTTTGGGTTCCAAGTTGTTTGAGTACCAAGGCATTTGAGAACCAAGGTACCACTGTAGTCCTTATGAGATTTCATGAGCAGAGCATCCTAATACACATTAACTGGCCACCCCAGTCTTTGCACGAGATTCCAAGGGGTTTGGGGCATTCAGCCAGGGTCTGTGTTCCTTTGGGGGAAATGAGGTACCGCAGAGTCTGCAATATCTTTGAAATATGATTTATTTGCACCTATTTACCCCGGAGGCTTCCAATGGAGAGTGATTTCACAGAATTCACATCTCAGAAGGTGCTCATCCTTCAAATGGGCACAAGATATAGGACATAATATACAATTTGAGGACTGGGGAAAATTGTGGAAAACAGATTTAAAATTTACAGATTGTTCCCTTCTGAAAGAAAATTACATGAAAATGATGTATAGATGGTACATAACACCAGTACAGATAGCAAAAATGTATAAAACCGGTTCTAACATTCGTTGGTAATGTAAAGAAAAAGAAGGGACTTTTTATCATATGTGGTGGGAATGCAAAGAAGTTAAAAAAAAGGGAAATGATATATAATGAATTGAAGAAAATGTTTAAAATGACATTCATAAAAAACAACAACCCAGAAGCATTTTTGTTAGGGATTGTAGGACAAGACCTGCCAAGGAAAATAAGGAACTTATTTATGTATGCGACACCAGCAGCAAGAGTCTGGATAGCACAAGGATGGAAGAATGAGAAAACCCTAAGAAAAGAACAGTGGCAAGAGAAATTGATGAACTATGCAGAACTGGCTAAACTGACATACAAATTGCGAGACAAGGACAACGGTGACTTCAAAGAAGAATGGGAACTTTTTACCAATTATTTAAAAAGACAACAAAATGAACTGGACTCCTTGGCAGGTTTTGAATAAACACACACAAATTCATTGTTGATAACACGATGGACAGATATGTAAGGATATATACAGTTTTATAATATGCAGAGAAAATATGTGCAGCGAAATCTGGGAGAGGAACTGAGGGAAGTCTTTGGTGGGGGGGGAAGGGGGAGAAATTATGTAGGCGATTATATGGCTTGATAATTTGTTATGTGGAAATTGAGCAATAAAAAATATTTTAAAAAAATAGAAAGGGGGGGACACACAATAACTCACCCCATAACTGGCATGGTGTTCCAACAGGGCTCCCCTAATTCCATGCGCACCAGGAGAACGCATCTGCGCAGCCACAACAAGAAGTAAGTCACACGCTTTGCTTGTTTGCTCACGAAATCAACACCTCCTGGGGCTCAAAGATAAAGAGGGGGGTCTTTACCTCAAGGGGGGTCTCTGCCGTCCTTCGGACTCTGCCATTGCTTCTGTCCTCGGGGTCAGAAAGGCCGCTGGCGTTTCCCTGCTTGAAGGAAGACAGCGTTGGCCAAAAAGGAAAAAATCTGCACAGGAGTTCCCTGGATTACTTTGAATCCCTGATTAATAATAAGCCCAGTATTTGAGTTTGAATCAATAAATTAATCAATAAGATGGATCAGGCCAATGGCCCATCTAGTCCATCGTCCTGTTCTCACAATGGCCACCCAAGATGACTGTGGGAAACCCGAAATCAGGATTCGAACACAGGAGCAACTCTCCCCTCCTGTGATAGATAGACAGAAAATTTATTACGGTCGGACACCAGCTTATAAAACACACTTGGGGATACAGTCACAGAAGGAAAACAAACAATTAAAACAATGTACAACAATAAATTTATAAATGCGATAAGCATATAGACACTTAAAACTTTAAGATAAGATACCACAGAGAGAGGGGACGCGGGTGGCGCTGTAGGTTAAACCACAGAGCCTGGGACTTGCCGATCAGAAGGTCGGTGGCTCGAATCCCCACGGCGGGGTGAGCTCCCGTTGCTCGGTCCCTGCTCCTGCCAACCTAGCAGTTTGAAAGCACGTCAAAGTGCAAGTAGATAAATAGGTACCGCTCCGGCGGAAGGTAAACGGCGTTTCCGTGCGCTGCTCTGGTTCGCCGGAAGCGGCTTAGTCATGCTGGCCACATGACCCGGAAGCTGTACGATGGCTTCCTCAGCCAATAAAGCGAGATGAGCGCCGCAAACCCCAGAGTCGGCCACGACTGGACCTAATGGTCAGGGGTCCCTTTACCTTTACCTTACCGCAGAGAGATGACCCAGAGTCTCCCATGGAACCGAGTTTGGGGATTTTCTTAATGAACTAGTTTGAGTCAGGAGATGGTCTGCGCCTACAGATCTGTGCACAGAATCTGGTGACCATCCGGGTCGTCTTCTCATATTTGCCTAACAGGAAAAGGTTGAATTTTTGCTTTTCGGGAGGTCAGCGAGCGTCACCAGCAGGGATCAATGGTCTCACAACGTGCCTCTTCATAAAAGGGATATCTAAAGAACAAGTGCTCTGGGCTTCCTATCTCCCCCAATGAACAGGTGCAAAGTCTCGGAGCATATGGGACTTTTTTAAGGCTCCTTCCAGGACTGGCGAGGGCAGAACTGAGCTTCTGGAGAGTGTAAAGGCCCTTCTTGCATTTTAGATACGAGAAAGAAGAGATATCTGTTAAGTTGTGGGTGAACATATCAGACAACACAGCGATTCTTCAAACAGCTCTTGTTTATTCACAGGCCAGAACAGAACTGAACTGAAGGGCTAAGCCAGCCTGCTTATATAGAGCTCCACTACAACGCAACAGTAACAACTTTCTTTAACTATCCAATCACTGAACGTCACTTTCAATTCCTTATTTGCATATGTGGAACTGAGTGAAAACTATCTACAGTATCCTGACCCAGTATGCTGACCCAGGGTGAGAACTTCAGTACAACTTAACAAGACTCCCATCCTAAAGCTCTGGGGAACTGCTGCCCCCAGTCACTGTGAACAAGACTGAGCGAGACAGACAAGGAATATCAACTTCTCGTGTTCCTATGTCATGGTGAGAGATAACCATGAAACAATGGCCATGAAGGCTATGAACGAGGCCGATGATCTACCTGAGCATTGCAGTAATTTTTTAGAGGGCTGGTGTCAAGGACTGGCTGGGTGGGGAAGGGTGGTGGGTGCCACACACCCAAGAGCAGGGGTCAGCAAACTTTTTCAGCAGGGGGCCGGTCCACCGTCCCTCAGACCTTGTGGGGGCCGGGCTATATTTTGGGGGAAAAAATATTATGAACACATTTCTATGCCCCACAAATAACCCAGAGATGCATTTTAAATAAAAGCACACATTCTACTCATGTAAAAACACACTGATTCCCGGACCGTCTGTGGGCCAGATTTAGTAGGTATTTGGGCCGGATCCGGCCCCCGGAGCTTAGTTTGCCTACCCATGCCCAAGAGTCCCCCCTAGGAGGGAGGACAGAAGAAGAAGAGGAAGTGGAAGAGGAAGAGGAAGAAGAGGAAGAGGAAGACTTTTATTGGTGTTAGACGCCCTGAGCCCGGCTCTGGCTGGGAGAACAGGGTATATATAAAAAAAATTATGATGATTTGTTTTGTACTGAGTTGAATAGGATCCAAAATGCAGCAGTCTGCTTGGTCCAAAACAATAGGATTCAGAATGCAGCAGTCTGATTGGTCCTAGAACAATAGGACCCAGAATGCAGCAGTCTGATTGGTCCTAGAACAATAGGACCCAGAATACAGCAGTCTGATTGGTCCACAGGAGCCACCCAATCCAGCTCTAGGTGGAATTGAATCCGCAACCTGATTGGCCTACAGGAGAATCCCGGAAATAGCCAATCACGTGGGGCCCATTGTGTAAATAATGTACAGTGGTGCCCCGCAAGACGAATGCCTCGCAAGACAAAAAACTCGCTAGACGAAAGGGTTTTCCGTTTTTTTGAGTCGTTCCGCAAGACGAATTTCCCTATGGGCTTGCTTTGCAAGACGGAACGTCTTGCGAGTTCTTGCGAGTTTGTTTCCTTTTTCTTAAAGCCGCTAAGCTGTTAATAGCCGCTAAGCCATTAATAGCCGCTAAGCCGCTAAGCCGCTAATAGCCGCTAAGCCGCTAATAGCCGTGCTTCGCAAGACGAAAAAACCGCAAGACGAAGAGACTCGCGGAACAGATTAATTTCGTCTTGCGAGGCACCACTGTATATAAAGCAGACATTCTGGGGGAACTTCCATTCCTCCTCACCACTATGAGCTGAATAAAGAGCATGAAATTCACTCTCGACTCCGAGTATATTTCATTATTATTATTATTATTATTAGTAGTAGTAGTATATTGTTGGGGGGGATCCAGAGTGAGAGGTTAGAGGAGAAGGGTGGGGCCAGTGGTCAGTTTCTGCAACGTTTTCAGCTCATAGCTGTCAACTTTTCCCTTTTCTTGAGAGGAATCTTATTCAGAATAAGGGAATGTCCCTTTTAAAAAGGGGAAACGTTGAGAGCTATGTTCCAGCTGAATAAGACGAGACAGAGGAACTCAGCCGTGTTGTGACTTTCTGTGAATAAAAGCCAACTGCGTTTCGTGACTCAGATTCTCTCCTGGCCTGTGGATGACCTGTGTTCGCCCGAGAGCTCCTTGACCCCTGGCTTGCCTGATTTCAAATGTCCCTACCAAATCACGAAGTTGGAAGCTTGTGAATGGGATTTCTTATAAATTACATGGAAAACGAAGACTTCCAGAGCATCACTTGGCTTAGCATAGATTCAATCCCACTGGCAATCAGACTGTTCTCCAAGATTTACAATCTAGATACACTTATCAGGGGGGAAATTGAGTTACTAAGTACGTTCATGGTGTTGTAAACAAAATCTGCCCTTTTTTCCCTTATGGGGTACCCAAGAGCCCATATAGAGTCCTTACGTAGCTTCCCTATTGGTAGGAGAAAATAACACAGGCCAACCAGAGAATATTGAGAAGCCAAGCAGCTAGGAAGCCTGATCTTTATTGATCTGTTGCAACAGGGTGCACCCCTCACACGCAGGAAAGGAGGAAGAACCCAGAACAAAGGTGTGCCTACCCTTATATAGAAATTTTAAATTCCCTGCCCTGGCGCTCCAGACCACCCCTTCATACATTATACATACATCACAGAAGGGGTGTAACCTAAGACCACCACCCCCAGATACATCATACCTACATCACAGAAAAGGCGGTCTGCAGCAGAAATCTGAGTGCGTTGTTTATCTCGTCTGACAGGTTACCTGTTAATGCTCACTTGATTGGATACCCTGGGGAGCCTAGCCAGTCTTTTATAATGATAAATACTTAGTTCCTGAGCCAGGTCCCAGGCTCACCCTATTTAAACACAGACAGACATACCCTTAAGACAGGATTTGTGAAGGAAAAGACAATGGGGAGGCTTTTCCATTTTCCTTTGACCTTGCAGAGAAAACATTTGGTCAGTTTGGGAATCAAAAATGGTTTCAGGTCGGTCTTCCTGTGCTGATCTATGTACGTGCTTGGTTGGTACATTTATGAACATTTAACATATATCTAAGATTTTAAAATTCTTATCACAATGGTTAGCAGAAAGTCGTGATTTGAGTCAAGCCAAAGCTATGTAAAGAAGGCTTGTATTCCCTATGTAGAAGTTAATTTGAAAATATTTGTTTTTTGAAGTTAGTTATCTATTTTTTGTTTTTATTCCTTTTCTGTTTTCTTTCTTTTCCTTTTCCTTTAATTTATATATAATGGATGTATCTACATGTTTGCAATAAAGTAATAATAAAAAGTATCATGAAAAGAAAACACGAAGTTGGAAGCTTGCTTTTGGAAAAACAAGCAAACCCGTTTTCGGTTCACAGCATCATGCGCCAGCTGTCAGATACTGCCAAACTTCGCACCACGGGACAGCCAAACATCCCAGCTGTGAGTCGGCCCTCTCGGTGGATATTGCAAATACTCTTTAAGTTCTCAGCCTCCCAAAACTTAGCCTCTCTTTACTGTGCTTTCGGTGTGATGTGATGGGAAGCAAACACAGCAGGAGGAAGGGGCATGTTACAAAACCATCCTTTGCGCCAACCCTCAGTTCCACAGGTGGCAAGCAATTTCAGCAAGCAGCATGAGAAGCTATCCATCAGGTCCCGCACTCTGAACGGGGATTTGTGGCTAGATGGGGGCAGGGAAATGCGTTAAGCGAAATATAGACGCAAGGGAGGAAGGAGGAGCTGGAGTGGAACAGAAGCTAGAAAGTGCCTTGTTCATTCAACTTCAGAGGATGCAAAACTCTGGCAAGTTTTGAGGGACACAGAGCACAGAGGGGTTTTGCCACCCTGAGAGGCTGTGTCACACAATCCCAAGACACGCATAATGTCTAACCTTTAATTTTGACTAGGGCTGGTTTTCAACATCGTTATATATCACCAGGTAAACTTTTTTTTCTTTTTTCTCTTTTTAAATACAGTGGTTCCTCGGGTTACATACGCTTCA